TAAATATTTATTGGTTGAAATGCGCAAAAAAATTGTCATTGTCACTCTTAGATATGTATTGACAGTGTGTACCAGTCTTTATGTTCTTGTCATTGTCATGTCAAGTGTTTTGTCATAGTATTGTTCCCTGTTTTTGTCACACTGAGTTTGTCATATTTACATGTCCTCAGATTTTCCACTTTCTTATTGCCAAGAACTTTTCCAGATTTTTGTAGTCCCCCATTTCCCCAGTAGCATTGCCATTGCCAGGGACTTTGTCAAGTTCTTATTACCAGATGTTGCCTATTTGATCAAATATTGTCAGAACAATTTGCCACAATTTATTTCAAGAGTATTGCCAGAAATCTTTTTCAGTTTACTGTCACATTTTAAAAATTGTCTGACAATGTGCAACATTTTCATTGTCAGTCATTTTGTCTCATTGTTATTGTCAGAACAATTTTGTCACATGATGCAAAAGAGAAGAAAAAAATCATGCATAAGGTTTTGATTAGTTTTCTATTGTTCAAGGTATCACTCATGAATTCATAACCATAAGTCTGTAGATATAAGTTGTGATGAAGGTGGAAGGGAGATAACTCAAATATACAGATAAGGCAGGTGTATGTAATGGGTTGTTAAGTTCCCTCAATCAAAATTGTATGTTCATCAATGAAGAAATAGAAATAACCGACACAACCTGATTTTCAACAATATTCATTCTTTCATATATTTTTTGTGTGCGATTTAATTAGAGTAACTCCAATGCTTCACTAAAGAATGTCTTAATGTAAACGGAGGCTGATAAAACGGGAAAGGTTTTATTTATCTAAGTCGGCCCTGCTAGGATATGTGTTTTCCAATTAACTGAGTAATTAGGATGCAGGTGTTAAATTGAAGTGTATAAAATATCGGTGATCTGAATGCATTATAGACGAAATGTTAATAGTGTATGGGATGGTTTTCAGATGAAATGATAATTATATAGTAATTATTTTGTCATTAAAATTCTTTATTATTATTATTATTATTATTATTATTATATACGCACTTGATGTAGAATATATTTTCACTGTTTTCAATGATCTTACCTTTTGTCATTGTTCGTCAGGGGCGACTTATGGGTATATTATATATTAAAGTATTTTCAACTAAATTTGTGGTTAAAATGAAATAAGATGTTCTATGATCTGCTTTCAAAGTGATTATAGAGTGTAAGCTCGTCAACTCAGGGATCATGGCCTTGAAATTTACTGGGGTCTTGGCTATGTTAATCTTATGAAGCGTTGGCTACCTTTCAGGGATGAATAATTTTTTATTGAAACTTGTGGTTAAAATAAAACAAAATGAATTTCAGTCTGCTCTAAAGTGTGGCTGATGGGACTTCTTCCTAACCCAGGGATTGTAGGTTTGAGCCCTACTTAACAGAGGTCTTATATATGTTTCATCATAATTATGACACCAGTATAGGATAATTTCAGGAAATGTTGATTTTACTGCCAAACATTATAGTTTTGGATACTGTTTGAATATTTATTTTTTATTATTTTCCTGTGCTTTGCGTTTTAATGTAGATAATTACTTGCCTGTATCAAAATGTAACCATGCAGACTAATTGGGTTTGATGCCATTGGCTATCCAAATTTCAGAATTTTGATATGGAACTCCCTTAAAATCCTGTGACATTGGTTCAGACTCAAATTAAGGGAAGTGCAAACCTATACCACATGTACCACAATTAAAGAGAAGTCTAACCAGGCTCCATACCAATAGATGTCCAAATTTCAGAATTTTGATATGGAACTTTGTTGAATTTCTAATGTACAAAATCCAAAATTGAAACAAGATAACTACAAACCTTTCAGGCTATGCCACCAGTACTGTGCAGTCTGACCAGGCTTGATACTATTGGCTCTCCAGTTGAGTATTTTTATACGGGACTTAAATATTCCTATTTTACTGGTCCAAATTTAAAAACGGGACATAATTTTATCATTAAGTTTTGCATGGGATAAGTTTAAAGTTCTTGTATTTTGACTGAATGTATTGCTGTGTATTATTGTACTTTTTTTTTCTCGGTGACTTTGAAAGCCATATATAAGAACTTATTATATATTTAGGCTTTTAAAGTTTCCATGTTGATTTATGTTCAGGAATAGAATTAAATGAATTAGCTGAGGGATAACTGGCTGAAGTAATCCTATTAACTCGTCTAGAGCATTCATTACAATATATTCAATTAACAGTTCTAGACCAAAACATGGAAGAAGCTATGTGTGAACTGTTCGATGTATTTATGTACACAAGTGTGAGAAATTTCAGTAAAATGGGTGCCGTTAACAATTTTAAATGTCTACGCAAGCATTTTTTGCCCTTATTAGACTAATGAAAAATGTCCTTAAACAGGTCAGTGTGTTTACGGGAGAAGACGAAGTGTCATTTCATTTTGAGAGATAAGCTGTTAATTTTTGCGCATTACACGCCGTAGATGTACAAAACATGTGAGCTCATTTTTGCATTTGACTGTAATTCTATGTCTGCTACTGTGCCAAAATTGTCATAAAAGTAACAGCAGGAATAATGTCAATGTACACATTAGATACGGGTTTTGCTGTACCACATTTCATGGTCTTTATTTAGTTCAATTGTTTGGTTTGGCAGAATCTGTGGTAAATGATGTAGCAGATTCAATGACTACAAATATAACTATTTTCATGTCATAATTTTTAGGAAATTGTTTTTGTTTTTTAAGATTAAAGCAGATGGGAAAAAAAAGAAACTAACAGTATTTGATGTTTCATTGTAATTTATGAGGCAAAATTCCATCTGCAGTTGTTGCAATGATCAAAATAGTAATAATCTTATAAGTTTTTGTTAGTTTTGTTTTAAATCACATGATTACTGTAAATGTGTTATGGTGACATGCCAGCTTTATTTGTGGAAGAAGATCAGGGCGTTTTTTTTTCACAGGTAGAGGAAGTGGCCTTTCTTTAAATTTAGGGGAAAGTAACACAGTATTTTTGGAGAGAAAAAAAGGGAAGTAAAAGATGATGTTAATTGAATTTTATGGGAAAATTCCATGATTTAAGGGGGAAAATAATCCAGAGGGGACCATGCCCATTTACTGCCCTTGCTATAGAAGAATAAAGCCCTGAAGACTTGAGATGCCTCTTCTTGTACATTATTCCAAGTAGGAGTTGGCACCTGCATAGAATGTTCTTATGTCAGCGAGCAGGATAGTTACCAACAAGCAGTACAAACAATTTGATGGTTAATGTTCATAAGAACCTTTACTTATATATGGCAGCAATATGTGACCAAAAGCTGTAAAAAGCCTTTAATGATGTACTTTTGTGCCGGGAAATACATGTGTTACGCATGTGAATGGATTCATTCCATAAATTTCCTTAAATGTTTGGCTTTATGAAGCAATTTTTTAACTGTCTGGCTCTATATGGCTACAGGAAACTTTTTAATTCTTTGTACATATATAAATACATACATACATTCTTAAAATTTAACGTTTTTTGGCAAACAGAAATGATTTATTTAAAGCTGTTAACTTTTATTCTTTAGATTGCCCATTTACTTTTAAAGTTTACTTAGAATATACGAAGATAATAGCTCAATTTTGCTTATATAGTCTGGAATTGTAAACTCATTTTTCAAAATCTAAAAAAAAAAGAGTAGATTTGTAATTTTGTATGCTGTCTAGTTGGAACAAATGGCAGGAAAATGGAAGCCAGAGCTGCGGAATTAGTTGATATCAAACTGTTTAAATAACGTCACGCAGATCTTATAAACTTGGTGGTGTTTCTGTTGGTATTTCAAGAAATTTTGCTTAATAGATTACATAAATGGCAAATGCCCTGTGGCAAAAGACCCAAGTGACTAGTAGTAGTATAGACGAAGATAAGGTCACCGTCTGTTCACTATTCAATCAGTACTTATTTTGAAATTTTTCCCTAAACTTTCTGATGGTATGGTAAAAATTGAAAGATTGACAAATTTGGTAAAAATTGAAAGATGGACAAGACCATTTATCATGGTTAGGGTTACTTATATAAAGCTTGATTATACGCCACTTTCAGATACTTCCTATACAAATATGTCAAAATTTATTCAAAATTGCTATTTTTAGGGTTGACTGCAAAACTGCAGTAACTTACATGGCATTAAAAGGAATTACAACAGTCTTGCAGTCAACCCTTGATTTGGACTATGATATGGTTAACCATATCTAACCTGCTGTAGCTCACTGAAGGGTTGTCTTGTTTTACTAGGGGTCCCACATTGTGCCTGAAATAATGCAGACAGTGAGATCTGAAATTTGAGGATCCTCCATCTGTAAAAATGGAAAAATACCATCTTAATTTGACTGTCAAGTGTTGTTAAAAACAAAGGTGAAGGCGAAAAGAGACAAAATATAGTGGTAAAATAAAATTGCAAATGTGATAATAATAAAGAAAATGATAATATTGACTTGAGCTCATGAAGAGAATGTAAATTACAGACATATGATATGAAAACTTGATTTTGTATTATGGCATTGAAACATTTCAATGACTTTAAAATCAAGCAAAATATAGGGGGAAATGTCAAAAGCAAACATGTTTATCCAATGGTATGTTAGATGTAAGCAGTGATTTGTCTGTACTAGTAGTTTGAAAATATGCCAGTCTGTGCATAATTTCTGGCCTCAAACTATTGGCTGATTAGTTTTAGCCTTTTGTCTATCAAAATCCCTAACATCAATGAGCTGTAGTACCAAATGCAAATCAAGTACAAAATTAAGCAAGCAAATTGTGCGAGGTAAGGGTAAATAGGGGATCAAAATTTAATACTGGTTCTCTTGTTTGAAATGTAGTTCAGACCTTCAACTGATTTCTTTTACACTGACTGCATTGTGCAGATAAATTTCTTAATTTTGTAATTCCCGAAAGGTTGAAACATATTCATATAGACTTCTCAGGTCAAAAGATGTTTAACTGTGTTTAACTGTAAAATTGTTTCCATTTCAGGTTAAAGGTTTAAAGATGGCTTCTGAGGAAACGAGTGAGATGCTGGAATCATCTAAACCTCAGTTAGACCTCCGTTTTGTAGACCATGTTGAATCAAAGATACAAAGCCCTGAGAGAGAAGTTATCAGTCCAACAAAAAAGTCAATAAAAGGTCCATTTTCTGCTTCAGCAACAAGTTTAATTGGAAAGATAAATGAAAATGGTACTATGGATAATGTTAATGAAAATGCAAAATCAGACAGTAAAAAGGAAGAACAAAGTGAAACTAAGAGTAATGATAGTGGACTAGATTCTTCAAATGTTAGTTCAGAAAACAGTGAGGAACATTTTATAGACAGACAAGAAAGTTATACAGCAGTCGATGAACCAGAAGTATTAACATCACCAAATAGAACTGTGGATAAGCTGTTTAACTTTTTAGACAGTTCCTCTTCACAGTCTTTAGATGCCCTTAATAACAATAGTGAAGTCATAATAGGTGATAATGAAGAGGATAAGATTGAAGTTGCTCAAACAGATATGTATCTTGGGAAAGAGGTAGCCTTGCATGGAGGTGAAAATGGTAAAGATGAGAATGTAGAACAAAAAGAGACTGATGATGCATCTATGAATTTGTATTGGTATACCAGTAGTTTAGATGTGGATATGGCAGAATTGGAACAATTTAAGACATCACAAACAGAAGAAAGTAAAACAACAGAAACTATCACCACAAATTTACAAATAACTGTAGGAAATGGTTATTACAAGACAAAAAATATTGAAGTAGATTTAGAGCCTCAAAATGGAAGTGTGTACAAATCAGAAACAAGTTTTGATATTAAAGCAACACCTGTTAAAAGAGATAGTTGGTCTCCTGCCTTTGAATCAGCTTCTAGTAGAATCCTTGATCTAGCATCAGAACTGAAATCTGAGCCAAAGCATAAAAAGAATAAGGAAAATGAGTCTATTAGAAGTGCTGTAGAAGTTGATTTAGAAAAACACCCATGGGGTTTAGATGTGGATAGAAAAGTTATGTCTGAAGTTGAAACAGAAGGTCCTGATGATTTACCAGATATTGGTGAAATTTCAAGTAGAGATAATGTAGATAGTTCTGTAGGTCCTTATCAAAGTGAGGCCTCAGTAGCATTTATGGAGAATGAATTTTTAAGAAATACTGAAAGCTTGGAAGACGAAGCAGATGCTATAGGGTATATGGAATTGGCAGACAAACCTATTGTAGAAGTAACAAGTAAATCTGTTAAGTCACAAAAAGGTAAGAGATTGGACCAAGAGGACAAAGTGAAAACAGTTGGTGCTAAAGAAGAGCATAAACAAAAGATTGAAGTTTGTGCTGAAGATGTAGCAGATGCCATTGGTTATATGGAATGGAAAGATAAGCCAGTAGATGAATCAATAAAAGTTTCTGAACAAACAGTATTAGAATATGTTGACCATAGAAGTACAGAAAGAACTGTTGGTGAAGTAAGGACTGAAACAGCTAGTGTCACAAGTATTGAAAGTCAAATTTTAGGCAAAGGTGCAATGGTTGAAGCTAGTCAGAAATCTAAGTCAGAAGGAATAGATTCTCCTGATGCAGGATTGGAAGTTATTGAAAAGTCAGATAACAAAACTGTTCAGTCTTCATTACAAGAATCTCTAAAGGAGCCAGAGAAAGTTGAAGCAAAGCCATTTGATCCATTTAATATTAAAAGAAAATACATTGTAGGAAGAGATTCAGAAGGGACTGTGAAAAAGATGGGAGGAAAGTTAATAGGAACGGAAAAAATGGTTGATGAATATTTAGATGATAGTAACTATTCTCTTCTGTTGAATGACTGTTGGTTAAGACTTAGAAATAAGAAATTTGAAATGAAAGTCAATGCCGCCTTTGGCTATGGTCCAAATATATCACCAGCTGTAGAAATGCTTACTAATGAAAGTGATATCCAAGAAATGCTGATGAAGAAGTTTGAGAAGACATTGGAACAAAAAAGAAGGGTGTCTGAAAGACAGTTAGATGTTCTCATTGATGCTTTAGGCTTCTCAGAGTTTGTTACATTTGAGACCATAAGAAAGAAATTCCAGGTGGATGGTTTTACTGTTACTATGGAAACGACCAACTTCGGGTTCCAGGTTGGTGAGGTTGACATTGTTGCCAATAGTTTGCCAGAGATGATGACCAGTTTGAAAAACATGGATGACTTAGCTGCAAAATTAGGTATGGCTTTTAAGAAATGTTTTGATGATATAGTTAACAGTGACTTTTAAAGTAAAAACTGTTGTGGGAAAAAGAAAACTTGTATGTTATATACGCAGTAATAGTACATTTGAGTGCTAACAACAAACTTATTGCTGCTTTGAGTCGTGGGTTTGAACCTTTTGCTTATAAGTATCATATTCATGGAAGTTGCCATGACTGCTTTTGTCTGAAATTTATTTTGAAGGAGATGTTGATACTCTGTATATTAATTTAGTTTAATTTTTGTTTTTAATTTGAAGTTAAACTTATGTCTTGGATTTTAATGTTGTAAAGTATGGAAGAAATATATATGATGCAAATTACCATTACGTTAACGTTTTATCACCCCTTAGAGTGCTGGTGTCAATAATTACTTATTACTAAATATGACACTAGTATAGGGGCAAACTAACCTTACCTGTGAAGTTTTACCAAGCTCGAACCTGTTGGCTGTGCACATTTGTATTTTGATATTAATATGCTTGAAACAAATAATGGACTGCTCCAGATTGCAGACAAGGCAAAAAATTTTTTTTTTAATTTTGGTAATAAAATCGTTAATGAACAATTTGGGGCTTTGCTATCTCTATAAGTGTGTATATATTTTTCTGTCTATTATAGGTTTTAGACCATTACAAAGCAATTAAATGCTGACAAGATGACTTGTGCAAGTGGAAATGGTAAGTGCCAAGGTATTGCCAACTTCTCCAACGTTGAAGTGGATTCTTCAGAAATATCATGCTTTTAATTAGTTATTAATTCTGGCATGTAATTAAAATCACTCGAGATAATTTACGTTTTGGTTTGCGGTTAAAACCGAATGAAGTGGTGCTATTTAAAATTCAGCTGCAGTTTACGATTTTGAGAAAGTGCTGTTGCTTGTAATTTGTGTTTCTGCGGTTGGCCACAAGATAAAGACAGCCCTACTTCTCAATGAGAATGACATTTTTGTACTTGTAAATTTGTACTTTAAAATGATGAATACCTTCAGATGAGTAAACAAATTTAGAAAGAAAAAAAACATTACGAAAAAATGTAGCGAAAGAATTGTAATGATATTTCCAATGAACTTTGTTATGATTAATCTGAAATATGTCAGAATTAACTATTTTTACTACCATATTTCTACCTGTGTTACTAATGGAATGAGGGTTGTTTCTTTGACATATTTATACTTTTAAATATTTGTACTTAATGAAACCCAAAGTGAAACAATCAGACAAAATATAAAAGAGAATTTTAGCTCACCTGAGCACAAAATGTGTGCCAACTTCTTATGGTTGATGGCTGTCTGTTTTGTCTTCCCTGTGAGAGGATAAGGGTCACTGGGTTCAAGGTCACTTAATGCTTAAACAGTCAAAAAATAGATTTTCTGCATTTCTAATGTAGCCTTTATTTATTAAGAACCATCTCAAAGTATTAAGTTTAATCATTATTTATTGTGAAAAAGCTTATAGCTTATTTGAAGTGCCGTAAAGTCCTCCCAGTACTGGTGTCATAATAGAAAAATTCCATGACCCTTGTATGGCTTGAAACTACTATCCCTTGGTTAAAAGGCTGGCACCATGAACTAGGCCACCACTGACTTCAAAATATTTCAATTATAATAATTTGATGTGAGATAACTTGTTTGCATTGGTTAAACGATTTAGTAGTTTTCTTTTATTGTCATTTTCTTCAATACTAACCTAGATATAGCATTGAAACTTTATCAGGGCCAAAAAACTCTTCTATGTAGAGGCTGAATATAGGCTGCTTCCCCAACCAACTAGCCTCTTTTTCCCCCCAGTTTGGTCCTCAAAATTCCCCAGTCTTTTTAAATTTCCCATAGAATTTAGAACAAAATTAAATGATGGTGTTGAATTAAGGTCTTTTACTGCCTTATTAGTATTTCCCAGTGCTTTTTGCTTTTCTATTTTGAAGAACTTGCTAAAAGTTTGTGTTAAATTTGAGACCACTTTCCCAAAGTATGCCAAAATCACGCATATTTTCCCCAAGAAAAAGGCTGAAGCCCCTTCCCCAAAAATGGTGTTTTGGCCCTGTTTATATATGGATACACCTTGATGAGATATACTTGTCACATTTATTTTAAGATCAAAAGGTCAAGGTCTCTGTGACCTGTAATGGGTTACTAATAAGGTAAGGTTTATTTTCTCAGAAACTATTAGAATTGGAATTCACTTCCAACTTGAGATACTTGTTTACTATCAAGGGCAAATGATTCTGATAAGCAGTTTTTCAGAATTATGCCCCATTTTAAAGTTTGCTGTTACTGTATTATCAAGTTTTTAGAAAAGTGGAGCGGACTGATACTTTTAGACAGCTCTTGGTTTTAACGTGTTTTTTACTTGGCTTTAAGAAAGGAAGAAAAATCATACTCAGACATAGTTATGATTCTGTTTTTTAATTCAAATTGATTTTTCTGCATCCCTATATAATATTCTTTCTATTGAATTACATGGAAGAGTATATAAATATTTTAAGTTTCTCAATTCAATCATAAACCTAGATCACATTCTATCATTTTCACACTCGTTAGACTGTGTGCCTTATCTAAAAATGTTCCTCTCCAAAAGTTTATTAATAAATAAGAGAAAATAAGACCCAGACTTAACACAGTCTGGTATATATAAAAAAACGTAAGTATTGCTGTATTAATTAGACATGTTGAATGATGATAGATATTCAAGGAGTTATACATTAGTCAAAATTATCAGTAATCCCAGGGGCTTCTAGACAGTAAATAATGTACGATTGGCATCTTCAAACATCGAAAACAGTAATTAAGAGGTGATAATTACAAAAAAATCCAGCTGTCTTCATTAATCAACAAGGAATATAATGAGAAAATGAGGCATGTGAAATTTCTAGGCTTCAAATAGTTTCGATGTATCTGGAATTGTAATTAAAGGTGTTAGATTTAACTTTAGAATGTAAACAGTCTGATTCAAAGAATTTTAACAGTCTCGAAGTGGGGATTTTTTTTCTTTTTTCCCCTTTCTCGTTGATTTCTCTGCTTTCTCGTGCTCTTTCAAGTGCGATTACAGGTTGTTATGAAAATAAATATGAAATGCAGTCTGCACTACATTACTTGTACTGCACTGGTCTAAGGTCTGTTTTAATGTTGATAAAATCTACAGATTAAAGCAGCAGTATAATATACAGTGATATACAGTCTCCCACTGAAAAACTGCATTAGTACTTTATTTTGAGGGGGATTGTGCGTCTTGTACAGAAATTTCTTCAACTGCCAGAGACTTTCTCCTGTGAGGAAGCTGTTTGGCTGGCTTACATATGGTTGGTGGTTCTACTCGTATCCCTTGCTTGTGCCTGAAATAATGTATGGAAGAGCATCTGACGTCTTCCTAGACCAGTAAAGCTTGAAAGTGGCCATATGTTCTTTACACTGTTGGGGCAACTTAAAAACAAAAAAACAAAAAATAAATAAATAATTTGCAAATTATTGATGTTTTCAAAACTTTGATATTGATGGTAAGATGATGTAGGTTACCCTCTGCTCAATCATAAAATTTCCAGCATCATTTCACAAATTTGTAGAACCTCCCGACCCCCATCCAAGAAAAATTCAGGAGAATATGATGTAAGACAAATCAAATTCAGTTATTTTAACATTCCACTTAAATTTCTGATCTCAAGGGAATCTCCTGATGGTAAAGCAGTAATAAATAAAACACATTTTGATTGGCTTGTTTTTGCGCAATAAATTCATCTGAACCAATCAAGAGTCTTGAGACAGAAAATTGAAGTTCAAGATTAAAGAAATGAAATTACTTTACAGCCATAAGTTAGCCTCAACGTTTCCTGGTATTTTAATTTAATAAATCATGATGAGCTGGTGATAAATAAACATTATTACTCTAGTGTCAGATTTGAAATAAAAAATTCCCGATATCAGAAAGTCGTTAAACTTGTGATCTTCGAATTGCCGATGTGACCTCATTCATTCCGGTCTGGTTGTCTATTGTCCTAAGACAATCAAGTGTGGAATAATTGCTGTAAGAACTTCAATATTTTAGTCGGAGAGATCAATGGTACGGCACCACTGTTCTGACAGTTCATTATACTTCACAGCCCCGATCTTAATTAACGGTCTAAATGTCGAGACCAGAAAAACACTTTCAATACACACTAATGAAAGGAAAAAATGATAGCGAAAGCTCGTAGGACGCTAACTAATCACTTTCTTAGAAATCATTTGCGTAAAAGGCATTTTCCTGTTGTTTAATTATGTAGCTTTTCCATTTGCCGCTAAGATTTATAATTTGTTGTATTGATTGAAGGGTTGATAGGATGGTTTAATCAAATTACGCGGGGTTGCTATGAAATAGAAATATAGAAATAAAGAAAATGTTCTTCTACAGTGGAGAACAAACATCGGGGAATTAGATGTCTCGATAGAGACAGCCTATGATTTGTATAAGATTGCGGACATTTGTTTTTGACTTAAATCATATAAATGGTAAATCACTTTTGTGCATCGCTGTAATATTGTTCTAAAAAAATTTAAACGAAAGTGCGTTCCGCACATTCTTTGATAATGTTTCTGGATTTTTTTTTTCTATCGTTTAATATTAGGCAGATCGAGGTTTTGACATTCGGCAACAGATATTGATGTACATGACATGTAAATTAGCGTTTATGAACTTGGTTTCAAATAACGCATATTTGCAGTGCGTACAGCTTAGTAAATATTTAAACTTTAATTGAAGTAACTGTGAAAAAAATCCACATTGAATTGATAATGCAATTAATAGAAAATCATTAGTGTTACGATTAAAATTTTTCACATCAATTTTACGATCTTGTTGTTTATCCTTGTGTTTATGAGCTGTTTGTTGCTTTTGATTTAAGTTAATTTATGGAATAGTTGTTATATGATATTCTAGGGACATTTTTTGTGATGCGTTTAAATACGGTTGTGACAATGCATGGAAATAAATGCTTTTCCCAGATCATTAGTTTAATTTGGTCTTATTTCCTCTCCCCTTTAATGGATTTTAAATTACTTCTGAACCTTTACGATAATTTCTCTTAAAACAGCTTAGTAGCTGATTAGTGACATGAGTTTTATAAAATTGGATACGTCTAATTAAGATTTCATTATTTTCAAACTATGCGAAATTGAATAATTTGTCCAAATTGAAGCAGTAGCAGTTACGTTTAGTAGTTTCTTTGTTTATTTTTTTCCTGACATTTTCGGGAAACAATCATCCTCAATCGTTGTCTCATTTGACTGTTGATTTATTTCGTGCCCGTGTATTTTGCGCGTATTCGGCAATGAAAGATAGATCTGTTGATAATGTTTAGCAAATTATTAGATATTTCGGCAATATTTTATAAAAATGAGAACTAGCGAGCATGTTTGCCAATAGATCGTAATCGTTGATGAGCAATATCTGCAGTTTTAATGGCAATTTGTTCTCATTTAAAAACATTTTATGTAATTTAGAAACATCAGGTTAGGCCGCCATAACATTTCACTAGTTTGATTAGATACTTTCAAGATGTTTATACATTGTTTAAAAAGCTGAAACAAAGGTCACTGCTACAAATTGAGAACTTTTGGTGAAATTTTAACTAAAATACACTGGAATAAATAATTCATGGTCAAAAGTGCAAATATGTTCCCATATTGAGAGTCCTTCTGATTTGGTAAAGAAAAGTACACATGGATACTAAAGTGTAGACCTGTTCAATACAATATTCTCAGAAATTCTTTTTATTTCCAGCCCATGGGAAACTTCCGGGGGGCTTAATCCTCCTCCTTACTGGTGTATGATTGAATGATAGGGAAATATGGGTTTATTCACACAACACCAACATCCCCCCACCCCCAACCCAACCCCAGAAACAGACAAAACAAAGTGATTTTGTCCAGGAAGATGCATATCTTTTTCAACCCATCACTTTCAATATTAAAGAAATTGTACATAATACAATAATTATTGACGTGTTTAACTACTCACATGTCTTTAGTATAGTACATGTAATTATTTAAAGAAATGTCATTCTAAAGGTCAACATTACTATGACGTCAAGCCACCTAGGGTTTCTGTGTTTCTTCCAATATGATAAAATTATTTAAAAAATGATTTTGGTATTGTGATTGCAATTTGGTACTGACTATCTGAAAGTTTTTAAGCTTTCATAATTTGATCATTTAGCAATTTAATTGAAAAGTGATGTAACTATTTTAACTGTTGTCAATGACTTTGTTATATTTCAGTTTGGAAGTCTTGTTGCCATGGCAATGCAGAGTAAATGGATGACGGGTGCTTTAAATGGACCAGTAAACTTGACAGCCTTTTTGCATCCTAGCTTTTAAAACTACTGCGTGTATATCCATATAAAACTTTTCCGTATATATATCGATATATCTTGTATATTATGTATTGTCGCCTGATATTATAATTATAATAATGTATTGCTATGTGAACTGTGCACTCTGATGCCATATCACTGTTGTTGTTTTTTTATGGTAATATTTATGTATATCCTGTCATTAGAATTTAGGATCTTGCGTAACAAATTTAAAAATTTTTGCATCATGATATTATTCTAAGCTTTTTTATGAGCTTTTTAAAATGTGATATTAAGTAAGTGTCAAATAATACCTTTTATAGAGAATAAGTTACTAATATTTAAGTTAAAACTTGTGCATTCAGAAAAAAAGAAGTTATTAAAAAAAACAATATTTTTTTCATGAAAATTTTAAGTTCAAGGGAGGTAATTCTGATAAATTTTGTGCTAGAGTTGTAAACTTTGTCACATATGATGTGGTTGATGACTAGCAACCAGAATTTTCAACATAGGAAGATAAGAAAAGGATGTGTAAATTAATCATCTGAATACAGTTCATAATTAAAGATATATACATCTTAAGGTAATAAATTGCTCTGTTAAGAAAGGTGGTCTTAAATAAGAGGTTAATATATGGCAGTTCAGTAACATATCCATATATATTCTTATATAATGTTACTTATATCACAGAATAGTGATTTAGAAGTATAAATAGATATATAATAAAACCGTCATGCTTTATTCTATGATACTGATCTATCATATATTAACCTCTTATTTAAGACCACCTTTCTTAAAAGAGCAGTTTATTACCTTCTGTAAAAGAACAGTGTAAAAAAAAGTACAATGGTATACTAATAGATACCTTTATTTAAACAATATGTAACCTCTACTGTAAGACCACCTCCTTTGAAGATCTGTTTCAGTTAAATATTGAACAAATATATTGCATTTCAGTTTTATTTTAACTTTTGCCTTGTGACCATCTTTTAAATAAAATTTGGAGTTTTATCTAACCACCACCTGTCTTAAAGGTCTGGTTCTTTCTATTTACAGTTTATATATTGTATTTAAAGTTTTATTAACCTTTGTCTTAAGACTACTGGCCATTATCATTTCAATTCAACGTAAAACAAATATTATATATAATTGTATAACAGTTTATTCTAATCTCTGGATAAGGACCACCTGTATTAAACCAATTCAGTTTTGGTGTAAACATATTGTATGGAATAGTTAATTTAACCTCTAAAGACAACCTGCATTAAAAGACCACTATCCATATAATTCGAACACTGGTCTTTGTAGACAGGGATCTCTATAATCTAAGAATTATGATTACAAAAGTCAGTAATTAGTGCAATTTATATGATATGTTAATTCCAATGTTTCCGTCTGCATTCACTTTCACGTGTTGGAGAACAATAAACTTTGAAGCGTAGGTTTTTATGTTGGGGATTTGCCTAGAATCCAATACATTGTACAAATGTCCATTTTATGACCAATTTTGATGGAAAATTGACACTTTTAATGGGAGAAATTTGTTATTTTAAGCGAAAATAATGAGTCTGTGTGAACATATTTTCATCAGTTTATTACTACACTGGAAGCCTGCAATTTCATATTTGTTATTATTTCCTGTAACTATTTATTATTATTTTCATAGCTTCATATAAAAATTTTATGAATTTCACTCGTGAATGAAGCGTATAGTTGCTAGTGGTCACGTGTCATGCCTTTTCATATTAGTAAATAAATGATTATTAAAAAAAAAAAAAAAAGAGGAGAAAAGAATGGAGAAACTTTTAATTTGATAAATATATCAGTGGTCCAATTTGAATCTCAATAATAAAATATAATGGTTATTAAAAATATAGAAAAAAAAGAAAATTATGATATTATTTTAAGGATGCATATCATAAGGACTGCATAGTAAATTAAGTAAAAGTTAAATAAGTGTCACTGGAAGCCTTTCATTTACATGTATAGAGTAAAAGCAATATAAACTTCTAAAGGAACATTTTCCTGCACTCTTGTTTTTATAGAAACTATATAGAAACCTTTTTCAAGAACTAAAATTAACAATAAATTAAAAGATTAGGAGGGGAGAAAAACACATCAAATATATTTTAAGTAAACTAATAAAGTGGTACAGAACAAAATAATATGCTGCTATTTTATTGAAGGTTTTATCAAGCAAAAATTTTCTGCTTTTTAACCAGGTTTTCAACGAAAACCGGGTTATTGTAATGCCGAAGTCGGCGGGCGGGCGGGCGGGCGGGCTGGCGTCAACTTTTGGTTTCCGCTCAATAACTTTAGTTTGCTTAGGCCTATTGACACCAAACTTGGTGTATGGGTAGCTTATATCAAGAGGCAGCTTGGGATTGCTACCCAGGTGTCTGTGATCAAGGTCAAGGTCACTGTTACTAAAAATAGAAATTCAGTTTCCGCTCAATAACTTTAGTTTGCTTTGGCCTATTGACACCAAACTTGGTGTATGGGTAGCATATATCAAGAGGCCGCTTGGGATTGCTACCCAGGTGTCTGTGATCAAGGTCAAGGTCACTGTTACTAAAAATAGAAATTCAGTTTCCGCTCAATAACTTTAGTTTTCTTTGGCCTATTGACACCAAACTTGGTGTGTGGGTAGCTTATATTAAGAGGCCGCTTGGGATTGCTACCCAGGTGTCTGTGATCAAGGTCAAGGTCACTGTTACTAAAAATAGAAATTCAGTTTCCGCTCAATAACTTTAGTTTTCTTTGGCCTATTTACACCAAACTTGGTGTATGGGTAGCTTATATCAAGAGGCAGCTTGGGATTGCTACCCAGGTGTCTGTGATCAAGGTCAAGGTCACTGTTGCTAAAATAGAAATTCAGTTTCCATGTAATTGCTTCATTTTGCATGTATTGATTGTGTTGCTTTCAAATGAATGCTTTGTATCCATGTTGCTTTGTATCTGTAAATGTGTAGTACCCTTATATATCATGCATTTGTTACGGTGCCCTTGCTGAATTGATCAATATCCAATTATTGCAATAGAAAACAAACTATCTGTCAAAAGAAATAAAGAAGCTAAAAGCTTATATTTAATCTATTTTATTTAATAATTACATCTGTATCAATTCAGCAAATGTGACTTACCTCCTATAGGTGGGCACTGGAAACAAAACCACCTTACTAAAAGCTTGAGTGCAAATAGTCGCTTGTTGACATTGTCATTTAACCCCTGTTTGTTATTGTGTGTTTGTATGTGAAGGCTGCGCATTATGCTAGTGTAGACATTGTTTCTTTAATAACTTTTTACATACATATTTAAAGAATATTTCAAAAAGAATATTTCTAATATACTTTTGCACTGTACTTTTGGCTAAATCTTCTTGCACTGAACAAGGGCATGGCTTAGTACTATTTAATGTGCGATATGTAACTGTAAAGTAAACATTTTCCATCTGCAATCACAGCATACTGCTTCTGCCTTTAAAACGCTAGTATACACACATTTGCATTCAAGCTTTATTATAATATTCTGTAGTTTGAACCTTATAGTAAGCACAGTAGTGTAGTTGGTGCAATGCATGTTCTTCATTTGATTTAAGAAATAGTTGTCTTTTGGACATGCTGGAAAGCACATCAAGACACTTTTTCATTTTTCCACACAACCCTTATTAAATCGTAGCACAATCATTTAATATTACAAAAGTGACTGGTTTTATTTGCAAATGTCTGCATAAAACCTGTTAATGAAGTTAGACATGGTGGTGGTTTTGGCTAAAAGTCACTTTTACATAAATATTCCTTATTTTGTCTGCTCTAAACAAAAGATCTCTGCATTTTATTTGATTTAAACTGCTGCATACATTGGTCAGTGTCTTTATTAGCATTTTGGTATTCAGTAAGTCCTCTGAAAAGCATGTTTATATAAAAGTGTATTTTGTTTAAAGCAGACAGTTTATAATCACAGTTCACATAGCAGCTTTATTTCTATTTCAGGCATCATTTGATTCTAACTTCATCATCATTATCTGTAATAAACCTTTCACTAACAGCTTTATTTCAGATAACACAGAATTTTATTTTTAAGATGGCAATAGATATGAATTCAGAGTAAACGTCCAACATTTACAAAGTTTTCCATATTATACACATATTACTTTGTATTTGCAGATAACATATAAAAATGGCAAGTAACATTAATGATCTTAGAAAATTTATCTCAGAGTCTGTGTGTGATATTGATATTCATTTGAAGGCAGCGGGATATGACATGTTTGCTGCTGATAGACAAGCAGGAACTCAGACCCTGGAATTGATTAGGAGTAAAGTAAAAGAAATGGAGGAGAAATCCAAGCAACGGATTTCAAACATTGAGAGGTCCATGCACTCTCTTGAGCACCAGCTTAGAGTGAAGGATCAGCGCAATTACCATCTGGAGAAGGCCAATGAACGGCTTACTGCTGAAAACAACAGGTTAAAGCAGGAATTGGATGACTTCTTTCCAACCATCGCAGACACAAGTATTCTTAATGTTAGCATGAATGCCTCCCAGGATGATTCAGATGACAAGAGTGAAATTGCTGGCTCAAGTAGTCATTTTGGTGCCTGGCAGGATGATGTCAAGAGTGACACTCCAGACAAGAAACAGAAAACCGCATAGACTGTTGTCTCTAATCATTTTGCACAAACATTATGTTAATAGATATTATACCTGAAAGCATCAGACTCATTTGTACCTGCTGAATACTTATGTTTGTATTGTTACATCAAGCAGATGAACTTAGTGGGAAAAAACATTTATCGTTGAAAATTTAGTGGGAAAAAACATTTATCGTTGAAAATTTGTTTGAACTCTAAAACAGTGACTGTCTACGTGTTGATTAATTGATTGATTCTTTGTATTGCTTATATATTTTGTTTTGCATATTGCAGGCAAAAGGTGACTTGTATAGTTGCATACAGAAGGAGTGTATGTCTGTGATTTATTCACTTTATGTTAAGAAATGTTTGCTTGTTGTTAAAATTGTATATGTAAATTGTAAATTGTATATGTGTACTAATAGTTTTGAATAAATCTTTTTTCAGATTGAACAATGCCTAAGTTGAAGAAAAAATCAGATAATCAAAAGCACGCCCAAGACAGGGAGAGGAAGCGCAGGATTTCTTTACAAAATGTATCTCAAACTAGTGACACTGACACTTATCATAATGATATGAACACTGTTTCTGTTAATCAGTCAACACAACATTTTGTTTTCAACGCTGTGGACTTAATGTGGCAAATTCAAAAGTGTCTGGATATAAATACACGTTTCAACAGTTCATTAAACATAATACAAAATCTCCAAAGCAGAATATCTCAGGAAATTCATGAACCTACAATATGTATTAAAGTTAAAGGGGATGGAAACTGCTTTTTTCGATGTATTGCTTATGTGCTATGTGGAGACGAAAGCTTTCATACCCAAGTTAGACAGACAGTGCTTTTACATATGTGCTCCAGTTCCCAGATACTAACTTCACTCTTGCCACCAAATACAACCATGTCACAATACATAGCTAGGTCAAAGATGTCTGAAGATAAAGTATGGGCAACACAGGTTGAGATAATATCCACAGCTCACTTATTACAGACTGACATATATACATACTCAAAATATGGACATGAACTGAAATGGTTAAAACATACTGCACAGTTCGTAGACAATACACTCCAGATAAATGAAAAAGCAGTTTATTTAGACCACCATACAGGTATTCATTTTGATGTTGTACTTGATGTTGGAACATCAGTGTCTAGTGATTCTACAGCTGAAAAAACTTTTCTGTGGAGTGAATTGTTGAAGCAAGAAAGTCGGCAAATATACAATAAGTACTACAAGCAGGCCCAAAGACAATGTGCTGAGTACAAAAACAAAGAAAACAGAAGCAGGAATGAAGGACGCTCTTCAAAAAGAACCAATAGTGAGTACAGACTGTTACAAAACCAGCGTAGGAATGAAACACGTTCTTCCAAAAGAACTGACACTGCATACAGACACTCAGAAAACCAGCGTAGGAATGAAACACGCTCTTCCAAAAGAACCGACAGTGCATACAGACACTCGGAAAACCAGCGTAGGAATGAAACACGCTCTTCCAAAAGATCCGATAGTGCATACAGACACTCAGAAAACAAGCGTAGGAATGAAACACGCACTTTGAAAACTACCAGTAGTGACTACAGACAATTACAAAACAAGCGTAGGAATCAAACACGTTCTTTGAAAAGAACCGATAGTGACTACAGACACTTGGAAAACCAGGGTAGGAATCAAACACGTTCTTTGAAAAGAAACGATAGTGACTACAGACATATGGAAAACCAGGGTAGGAATCAAACACGTTCTTTGAAAAGAACCAATAGAGACTACAGACATATGGAAAACCAGGGTAGGAATCAAACACGTTCTTTGAAAAGAACCAATAGAGACTACAGACATATGGAAAACCAGGGTAGGAATCAAACACGTTCTTTGAAAAGAACCAATAGTGACTACAGACAGTCCGAAAATGAAGATAGAAATGAAAACCGTAAAAGAAAACGAAGCAATAGTCAATATAGACAAACAGAAAATGATCACAGAAAAAAATGGAGATCATCGTCACATCGAAAGCAGAGAGAATTACTTTTAAAGCGTAAACAAAGGCAGAAAAAAAGGTCAGAGCAATCATCGCTACAAACACAAGTACAGCTATTCAATGATCTTTTAAATAGAGGAGATGACTTTGTGTGTACAAGCTGCCAACAGACGTTTTACCAGCACAGTGTCTACACAGTGAGTAGAAAAAGTTTAATCAGGAAAGGAATATCACCCCAGTTTATAGACAAAGTGTTAACAGATTATAAGAGTGTTTTAAATTCAGAATGGATATGTAAAACCTGTTACAATTACATCTCAGATGAGAGAATGCCTCCAATGGCTGTTGCCAATGGGTTCTTACTTCCACACCTTCCAGATTCACTATCTTCTCTTAGTCCAACAGAAACAGAGGAGCGATGTACAGCATTGAGGATCCCATTCATGCAACTGAAACAACTGGGCATTGGAAAACAGTTTGGCATCTATGGAAACACTGTTAATGTACCAATGAACCCCTCGAGTGTAGTGTCTATGCTCCCAAGAAGATTTGAACAAACAGAGACTATACACCTTCAGTTCAAGAGAAGACTTCAGTTTAAATCTTCAGTATATTATGAAACAGTCAGGCCAAAGGTAATATATGACTTCACCAAATACTTTGTAGAAAACAGTGACTTATACAAAGAAGAGGGAGTTACATTGGATAATGAATGGTATAAAGAAGCACAGGACAAAAAAGAAATTTCCTTTTCTTCTGTGGAAGATATTGAAAATTTACAAACGGAAGACACTAACAAAGAAAAGCAGGAGAGTACTGAAGAGGATACTTGGAATGAATTGACCGAAGAAGAACAGGCAGGTGCAGGGAACAAGGACACCTTGATGCAAAATGTTGACTTTGCAGATGATGGTCTTCATGCACTGCAGATAGCGCCTGGTGAAAAGAACCATCCAATAAGTCTATTTATGGACACTTTTGCTGAGGAGAAGTCTTTTCCTATCTTGTTTTGTGGCAAAAAAAGAATCGAAAATATTGAACGGACTGTACCAGTAACTTACAGTTCAATATGTAAAGCAGAGTTAAGGAATGTGGATACAAGATTCTCTAAATCCGTCCCAAATATGTTTTTCAAACTTAAAAAATTACAGGCATTGCAAGTAAGAGATTTGGCTACAACTGCTCTCAGAAAATCTAAGAATGTTTCATATACTGCGGGAGAACTGAAAATACCAGAAAACATTCAAAACATCCTACATCATGATGACGGATTTCGATTTCTAAAAACTCTTCGATCTTCTCCACCATACTATCAGACAAAACAAAAAGATTTGTTTGCCATGATCAACCAGCTAGGCTTGCCAACATTCTTTGCCACTTTCTCTGCAGCAGAAACAAGGTGGCCAGATCTGTTAAAACTTCTCTGTAAAAAGTCTGGCAAAACTGTTACTGAACAGGAAATAGTCAACCTGAACTGGATGGAAAAGTGTCAACTGATACAAAACAATCCAACCACATGTGCTAGACACTTCCATTACAGAACTAAGTTGTTTTTAAACAACTTCCTCACATCAGATATCTCACCTATTGGGAAGGTGGAAGATTTCTTTATCAGGGTGGAATTTCAACAAAGAGGGTCCCCTCATCTACACTGTTTGTTCTGGGTAAAGGATGCCCCTGTGTATGGCTCCTCTCCAGAAAAGGACATAATTGAATTCATTGACAACAATATCAGCACAAGTTCTGATGTTCATGAAGATGCAAAACAGTTTGTACAGTTACAGATGCATCGCCATTCCCAGTCATGTAAGAAGAAAGGGAAAGAGATATGTCGATTTGGATTTCCCCTCCCACCAATGAAGGAAACTTTGATAATGGAACCATTTTCTTCTGACACGGAAAAGGAAGTTTTGAAAGCAGCCAAACAGAACTATGAGAAAGTACTGAAAGTGTTAAAAGCACTACCTAAGGATGCAGAACTAACATTTGATCAATTCATTGGACAGTGTGAGCTTACCTACGACCAGTATCTTGGCGCTGTTAGGTCATCATTGAAGAGGAAACAGGTACTTCTGAAAAGAGCAGTGAAAGATGTGAGAATGAATGCATACAACTTGAATGTATTAAAAATCTGGCAGGCAAACACAGACCTTCAGTATGTGCTAGATCCTTGGGGAGTTTGTGTGTATATTGCGAGTTACATCATGAAATCACAGAGAGGAATGAGCCTGCTTTTACAGAGAGCAACGGAGGAAGTGAAAAAAGGAAATTTAAAGCTAAGGGAGAAAGTCAGACACATCGCCAACAAGTTCTTAAATCATTGTGAAGTCTCTGCCCAGGAAACCGTTTATTTGTTGCTACAGCTTCCTCTCACTCAGAGCTCAAGAAGTGTGATTTTTATAAATACCTCCCCACCAGAAAAACGTGTAGAAATTCTGAAGCCATTGTCACAAATAGAACATCTTCCTGATAGCTCTACAGATGTAACATGTTCTGGATTGATTGACAGGTATGCTGATAGACCAAAAATATTAGAACAGCTATGTTTAGCAGAGTTTGCCGCATTCTTTGAAAAAAAACCACGTTTAAAGAAAGAAACTGGAAAAGAAATTCCAACTGAAATAGATAACACAGACAACAATGTTGACATTGTAACACCAGGCACTGAGATCAAATTGGCAGATGGAAGTCGACTTGTACATCGCAAGACACCTAAAGTGATACGCTATGTGAAATTCAATGTATCAAAAGACACAGAGATGTATTACAGAGAACAGCTGATGTTATTCTCACCTTTCAGGGAAGAAATGAAGCTAATGGGCACATCAGACAGTTTTGAAAGCCAGTATAAACTCTTAGAGGAAAAAATAACCAACAAACGCCATCAATTTCAGATTGGTACAGAAGGTATAGAAGAGGCTATGAATGCAGTATCAGAAGAAATGATCAATGATGAATTAGATGACATTGCACCAGTTGCCAGGCAGTCTGAAGAAGATGCCGTTTTACAAAAGGAAGATCCTGTTTCCATGCTGCAACCTCCACATGAAAAATACAAGCACTTTGATATAGGGTCTTTTAAAGACTCACCAGAAGCAAATACTCGGGGATGCATTATCCAGAACAGAGTGTCAAATGAAGATTTTTTCTCTATGGCAGTGTCTTTGAATGAAGAGCAAAAGAAGTTTTTTTATGAAGCATTACACAGAATTAAGACAACAACTGAACCATTTTACTTCTTCCTTTCCGGTGGAGCAGGAGTTGGAAAATCCCATGTACTTAAGACCATTTATCAGGCCTTGGTTCGTTATTTTGACAGTGTCCCAGGCGAAAATCCTGATGACATCAAGGTTGTTATTGCTGCACCAACTGGTAAAGCAGCGTACAATGTACATGGGAATACGCTGCACAGCCTTCTTGACATTCCACCCAGCAATGCTTTGAGATCTTATATACCACTTAGTAATAGCACTCTCAATACCTTGCGCAGCCGTTTTTACAAGCTAAGAGTTTTAATCATTGATGAAGTATCTATGGTCGGAGTCAACCTCTTTAATTTTGTATGTAGCAGACTGCAACAAATCTTTGATTCCACCAAGCCATTTGGAGGTATTTCACTAATTCTTGTTGGAGATCTCTTTCAGCTGAGACCAGTTGGTGATTCATGGATTTTTGAGAATGATTCTGTTCAATATGGTCCATTATTGAGAAACCTTTGGCAGGACCTAGTCCAGCTGTATGAACTGACAACCATAATGAGACAGAAGGATGATGCCATATTTGCATGCTGTCTCAACCGCATTAGAGAGGGAAAGCAGACAAAGGAAGACATAGATCTTATTGCATCAAGGCTATGTACCAAGGAAGACACTAATCAGTGTATTCACTTGTTTAGCACCAACCACCTGATTGACGAACACAATCAACAAGTGTTATCATATAAGGAAGGACTGACATTCATTTCTGTTGCTGTGGACTATATACAAGGTGATGTGTCTGTTAAAGACAGGACAGCAGTTTTAGACTTTGTTAAACACTTAGAAGTTAGGAAAACTCAGAATTTGAGATTTGAACTCCAACTTAAAGAATCTGGAAACTACATGCTAACACACAATATCAGCACAGCAGATGGATTAACCAATGGTGCCAGTTGTCAAATAGAAATGGTTCAATGTTTTAATAATATACCGACAGTAGTATGGGTCAAATTTCAGCCAAATGAAATAGGATCAGTCACAAGACAGGAACATAAGCACTTGTATGCATACAGTTCTGCAATTCACAAATCATGGACACCAATACAAAAAATCCAAAAAGAATTTCAAACATCCAAAAACAGCAAAGTAAAAATAGTGAGAAAACAGTTTCCTCTGCAGGCAGCAGAAGCCATATCTATTCACAAATCTCAAGGTTCAACTCTTGATGAAGCAGCTGTGTCCTTCAGAGGTAGAATTCAGAAACACATGGTCTATGTAGCATTAAGTAGAGTCAGAACTTTAAAAGGACTTAAACTTCTTGACTTTGATCCTAAGAAGATTACTGTTGATTATCTTGTTCAGCAAGAAATGCTAAGAATGCGGAATGAATCATCATTGCAGTGCACACAGTTCTGTCTTCCAAAGTCAAATTTTACAGTTGCATGTCATAATTCAAGGTCACTTCACAAGCATATCAACCAGTACAGGAACGACACAAGACTCACTGATGTTGATGTCCTGGTTTTACAAGAAACATGGGCATTAAAGGATGACTATAAACACCATTACCACCTGAATACTTTTCAGGATCCCTATTGCATCTACACAGAAATTGATCGGAAGAGACCACACTCTGGAACATTCATATATGTTAAAATAGGGCTTAACATTGTATCTAGTGTTCAGGCAACAGAGCCTGGCCTGGAAAGTGCATGTCTTCTGATAGAAAAGAATGGACACCAGTTTGAAATCATAAGTGTATATTGCCATCCACCTGGAAACACATCTAAAGTTTGTAAAACAGTACAAACACTCAGAACTCGAACAGTGCCATGCATTATAATGGGAGACTTTAACATTGACCACTTACACCTCTCAAAAAGTGAGAAATTATGTCAGTTCATGGAAAGACATTTGAAAGCAAAGCCACAGATCTCTGATGAAACAACAGATTACCATTCCCTACTGGATCAGATATACTCTTCAAAACCAGCCATAAGTGCAGGAGTCCTTGAAACTGTTTGGAGTGACCATAAGATTGTGTGGGCAGCCATATAAGTTACAAAGTACATCAATACGGTACATGTATTATTATTAAGAATTACTAGCTGGGTTTGTTTCGGCCACTACACAAACATGTATGAATCAGTAATTTGCATATGGGGAAAAATTGGACTGAAATTACTGACTCCTTATATATCTGTGTAATGTCAGGAACAAGCCTTATAATTGATTTATTTCATCAACCACTTTTCCTAATCATTTATTTATTTCAGTGTTTCACCATATCCTTAGTACTAAACCTGTATGATTTCTACTAACCCTACATAATGAGATCACAATCTGCATGCAACCAAAATAATGGCATCATGTGTTTTCTTCACTCCCATCTTTTATTTTTCATTCTGTCAAATCAATACTTGGACGTTGAAAACCTGGTTTCGTCGCATTGCGGCGCTTCTTGTTCTCTTTTGTTCTGTTTACAGTTAGATGGCCCCCTATCCCTATTCGGTAGTGGGGACGGACAAAGCGGCTACTATATGCTCACCCTTAGGGGAGCATAAAAATCTATTTACATCAGTGTGGTGACCTTGACCAAAAGTAGACCTTTACCAAAAGTTACCACCCAAGATGTCTACAAAATATTAAAGACATCAGTCATTTAATAAAGGCTGTATAAGCAAGACAGCACTGGTAACCTTGACCCCTTGTCTTTCCAAAATTACAAGACCACTGAAGGTCTATACCAATCAAACATGAACATCATCAATTAATAAAACCTGTTTAAGCAAAAGTGTAGAGGTCTATTTTGAGCAATGGTGACCTTGAACTTAGTGGCCCTAACTCATCATAAAGTTTGAGGATTACTCAAGGGATCTACTCACCAAATATAAAAGGCAACAGCTTGTAAATAAGGCTTCATAAGCAAATTGTTTCAATCCATTTCTAGCAAGGATGGTCTTGTTCAATTTACCCCCAAAGTTAGATAACCTCCAAAAGTAAGTATTATATAGGGAGATAATTAAAAAAAAAAAAGTTAGGCAGAATAATGGTTCTTGCATGGACACTGCACTTCCTATCACTGGCTGAAGATTTAATCAAGTTCTTTCAACATTTTTTATTCTCCAAACAAGTGCATTTACATTATAAAGGAATGCCATTCAAAATCTAAGTAATGTATTATGTAGAGTAATTGTTCTTTGACAATGCATTTCTTCTCACATGTCTATAATTATGAGAAATTTCAATGCATCATTGATTACTGTTTATACTCTGAACTATCATTATTTACTCAAGGGAATATATTAAAAAGTTATGGCATAGTAGATTTATTTCAATCTATAATCCAGACTAGAGCATTATAGACATCTACATTTTTCTTTTACTTTCTTCTTATTTTTTATTATTATTTTTTTGTTAATAGAACACATATATCATGCCTACTTCCTCATGTTGTCCTTTTTAAATTATAAACCACAGCTATTTTTTCATTTGCAAAATTTGTAAAGCAGAAATGTTATAATGGTGAAATATAAATAACTATTAATTACCAGTCTGCTGTTTGACATTTTTATGACAAAGGAAAACAAGAGGGCCATGATGGCCCTGAAATCACTCACCTGTATATAGGCCCCTAGGCCAAGGCCAATTTTAAACCAGGGGCTTTTATTTGACAAACTTGGAAGACACCCATTAGAAGATGTTTCATGATAAATATCTAAGCTCTAGCTCTTTGGGGTTTATATCAGAAGAGTTTTAAAGTTTTTACTATATACATATAGGGTAAAACAATACCCCCATCACAGAGGGGCCAATTTTGACCCCAGGGCTTTTATTTGAACAAACTTGGTAGACACTCACTAGAAGATATTTCATGCTAAGTCTCTAAACTAGCTCTTTGGGTTTTTTATAAGAAGATTATTTAAGTTTTTACTATACACAAATAAGGAAAATCAATGACCCCTGGGGCGGGCCAATTTTAACCCAAGGGCCCTTATTTGAACAAACTTGGTAGACACCCATTAGAAGATGATTCATGCGAAATATCTTAGCTAGATCTTTGGGGTTTTTAAAAGAAGATTTTTTAAGTTTTTACTATATACATATAGGGAAAAACAATGACCCCCTGGGGCTTGGCCAATTTTTATCCCAGGGCTTTTATTTGAACAAACTTGGTAGACACCCATTAGAAGATGTTTCATGCTAAATATCTTAGCTCTAGCTCTATGGGGTTTTTAAAAGAAGATTTTTTTAAAGTTTTTACTATATACAAAATCAGGAAAATCAATGACCCCCTGGGGTTCAGCCAATTTTTACCCCAGGATATTTATATGTACAAGCTTGGTAGACACCCACCAGTAGATGTTTAATGCTTAATATCTTAGCTCTAGCTATTTGGGGTTTTTAAAAGAAGATTTTTTAAGTTTTACTATATACAAATAAGGAAAATCAATGACCCCAAGGGGCGGGACCAATTTTGACCCCAGGGCATTTATTTGAACAAACTTGGTAGAAACTGACTAGATGATGTTTCATGCCAAATATTTAAGCTCTAGCTCTTATGGTTTTCTGAAAGAAGATATTTTAAGTTTTTTCTTTCGGATGCCATGGCTTGGAATTAAATTCTTTGAACAATTTTTAAAATTGACTACCAAAGGAACATTCCTGTGGAGTTTGGATGAAATTTGCTTAGCGGTATATGAGGAGATGTCGTTTAAAGTAAAAGTTTACGGACGGACGCCGGACGAAAAGCGATCACAAAAGCTCACCATGTCACTTTGTGACAGGTGAGCTAAAAATATTAACAAACACACATAATTGTTTAACATTTTTTATTGATACATAATAAAAATTTTGACTTAAGAAGTCAAAAAAAGCACAATAAAGCTCAAAATAACCTTGAACTTTGCTCAAACATGAACTTTTTGAACATTGTTCAAGAAATAAAACATAGAAATAAAGGCAGATGTGCAAAACTAATATATGATTTGATGTAAATAAATACAGGCTGTCCAGCACCTTCTAACAAAAAATTAGGGCAAATTTTAGGGCAATTTTAAAGAAAATTTAGGGCTAAAATTAGGAATTTTAAGGTAAATAAAGGAAATTTTAGGGCTAAAATTTGGAATTTTATAACTAAATTATGGCCTCAAAAGACCATGATAATTGGGCTCAACTTTACACATTTGATATAAAAGTAACTCACAAATAATGCTCTAGTTCAGTTATAGCACAGGTGTAACCAGTGTTCCATAGTCACCAGTGAAGGAATGGATTTATTGGTCAACTGCCTTTAAAAAGAGCTGAAAAACTACATTAAAACTTAACTAGAATGAAAGCATTTTCAAAGTTGTAAGTATCCCTGAACAACCAATATTCAATTAATTAAGCTATGATTAGCCAATAATAAATGGAAGGGGAAATTATGCTTTAGATTATTTTAGCTATAAATGCATTTCTTATTAACATTTATTCATTTTAAGGTTAATTGGTACATTTTCAACAAGTCTTGATCTTTCTTAAAAAAACAATAAAAACGATATGACCCACTCAAGTCATTCCCAGGAATATTTAAACTTATATTCAAACAGCAGGGTATACATCTATGATGAATTTGTTCAAGATAAATCAGGCTACTCAAAATTGTAGAAAATTTCACAACAGTGTCAGTTTATTCAATGATTTTCAACAGTTTTTTTCCAGATTTTAAAAAACTTACACTATATGTTTATTTGTTATAACATATGTTCAGTACATGTTAATGTGTACAAAAAGGGCAGCTGAAGGTGTTAAAATGGTAAAAGCATCCAATCATTACTGCCAGTTTACCTTACCCACTTTATAATAAGCAAATATAAAAACTTGTTTAGATCTGCCAGCTGGTATCACTTACAAAAGATCTGTTCCAGTCATCACTTGACAATAACTTGATTACAAATTAAGATTTTATTGATACGAACCCTTACATAAAGTTTGATGAAATTTAGTGGTTCATCATGTAAATAGTTGCTTTAAATACACCTAAGACTTAGGTAAATGGCAAAACTCTGTAGCCAATAAAAATGTAACTTCCTTGGAAATTTTTTTATCACAATTTTAAACAGGTCACTATTTTGATATAGTCAAAGTCGGACAATTTCCATTGTTCCATTTAAAACAAACAGTGTCTTATTATTTTTCTGATAACATCTGACAATCAAGTATAGCATTTCTACATACTAAGTAAATACAACATGTGACTTCATGCAATTTAGTCAGACATGACATCAGTTCCACTGAATGTGTTCGAATTTAGGTTGTGATTGAAACATGGTTGTTTCGTGATGTTTATCACAAAAGATAAAAAAAATAGGAATTTTAGTGAAAAAATAGGGCTTTTTTAGGAATTCCCTTTGAATTTTTCATTTTTTTAGGAATTTTAGCCAAACTGAAAAAAATTAGGATTTTTTAGGAATTTTAGGGACGCTGGACAGCCTGTAAATAGGTGATCTTGAGATCAAGCTGTGAGTTATTATGCTGAAATCTTTGCTGCTGATAACTAGACTGGACATTGCAGGAACAAATTCTTGTTTATTACAATTGTATTTTAAACAATGATATATGAAAGCATGACAGTGGTATTTATTTCATTCTGTGAATGAATGCAATAATTGTTACCATAAATTGAATAAATGATGGGCGACAGTGTTTATGTTACTTTGCCAGTGAGATATTTCTATATTTCACAAGATAAAATGCAGGACTGGTATATATTCGAGCATGTATCAACAAAAATGCCTTAAAAGTATATTATGTCTTAAATCTAACTTTTTATTAAAGACCAAAAAAAAATCTGTTTTGCAACAAAGAAACTACTGTCAATTATTTGTTTGTTTCATTTTTTACGCCTTTTTCCAACAGTATTTCAGTCATATAGGCAACTACTGTCAATTAAAATGGATTTTTCAGGAAACATTAATAACCTTACTGAATTAAGAATCATTTGCTTTGATGTACTGTCAATTAAAATGGATTTTTCAGGAAATACATCAAAGCAAATAAATGTTAATTTCAATTGCTGTTTAATACACGCGGGATAACAAGCTGCCTTTAATTACAAAACCACAGATATCCATTAAATATTGATCATACTTAATCTTAACTTTGACAATCTAGCTCAGATATGAAAACATACTGCTCAATAATCTTTATTTTATTTGCAAATAAAATTTGTTCGATTAAACAATGCCATTTTCTAAATGAAATAATGTCTTTTCATGGTGCTCTTTACGTGAACATTAATAACCTTACTGAATCACCACAAGTCAGCCTTAATAAATAACCAACATTTATCTGATCACACAGGCTCACAATGGATCCCACAGTGAAGTTTAGTTGAACTAATATCATCAATTTATATCATTTTTCTTCAGAGAACATTAAATATAAACAAATATAGTATTACAATGAGAAAAGCTGCTACAATTTGCACATCTGCCTTTACAGTTTAAACAGATCACAGTAACACTGATTGGTTTAAATGCTTAACAAATTACAACAACCACAGGACACAACTACCAGCATGATCAATCCAATAACATCATTAATGTCGACATCAAATTTTACATTTACTAACAGGTCAAAATTGCCAGTAAAGAGTCAGTTTAGAATGCCCATAACTTGATCAGAATAAAAACTGTTTTTCTATAAACATCTTGTCAACAATGTTAGGGTTGTCTTAGCTGTCATTTAAAGATGTGTTCACAGTTTACATAAATATAGAACCAAACATATGGTATAGTTTTCACGTAATGTTGTTTCCCAAAAATTGTTGAACATGAATGTCATGAAGAGAATAAACATTAAAGAGTTAAGATCAGTAACAATAAATAAAGCACTATGGAGTAAATACAGAGGAAATATCAACCTCAACAGTAACCATTTTACACTGAAAATACGTAGAATCTTCTTAATACATTGGTAAATTCTGAAGCAACACATATTAAATGTGTGTAACCTATTCAAGGTGACCTCCATACAGATATTCTATTTTTTGTCCATTGATATAACTTACAGAATGAGAAATTTAAAGCAGAAAAGAATTCTTACATTTCCATGACAATAAGATATCAATATTCAGGAAATTGCCTATCAAAATATGAAACAGATTCCAAATATAATCTCCCAAAATGTCATGTAGTACCCTATTGACCCCTTGGTATTGCCTACAAGAATATTCATGAAATTTAAAAATAAAAATATTGTTTTAACAGAAAAAAAGTACATAAAAATAGCAACTGATAAAAGAAGTAACAAGAAAAAAATTGAGTACAGACAAGCACTGTGATCTACTGACCATATAATGCCTTTGAAAAGTGGAAAGATTCTATGGCACATTATATATATACAACTAGTGAAATCAAATAACTAACAACTTGACATTTCCACATGTTAATAATCTGAAATAAGACATCTGTTTCAAACTTCTTGTCTCAGATTTCTCACCTCTAAATGTTATAAGCAATAACAGATTTCTAAGTCAAGGTTGTAAAAGGAATACCTGTAAATTAATAACATTTCATAATACCTGAAAGGTAATACGTCTGCTTTCATAATGTAAACCCTAGGAGTGTATGTCTTGTACAGATTTATAAAGGTAAAGGAATAAATTTGACTAACTTTGAGGAACCAACTCTAAACAATTAAGGTAAAACACAAATTTATATGTTACAGGGTGAAATGTTATACCTGGCTAGTAGGTATTCTATAAAATGTGCAATTGTGTTGGGTTTCATATCCTTACAATTTCATCTGAAAAGAATTTTAGCAAAAAGTGTCACTATCATTTAACAGAATGGAATAAAACATTCCTAACAAAATATTCAACTGCTGTTCTTCTAAGAAGCAAAGTTAAAGTTTGCCCTCAACCAGCAGGTAAAGGATTACAGTATTACAGGAATATGTATGGAACTGTTAGGTAATTGAACACTTGACTGTTTGACCTAAATGAAAATTTTCAGACTTTGTCAGAATTCTAAAGTAAGTATCCTATGTTAAATAAGTCAAGTATATACGCATAAAAATATAGAAATTTTTACCTTAATAAAAGAATGGTTACTGAGTTATTGACCCATATCTCTCATTGATGACTAAGTGACTAAGTTGTACACACTGGCAAGATTTCTTACTTGAGACCATAACATACACACAGCAGTTAAAAACTATCCGATTTTATCATACAAGTCTAAAACTATTTAAAACAGATTATTTTCACAACTTCTCGAAACACAAAAATCTATTAAAAAAATGCAAGAAACAAACAATGGTAATATCACTATTGAACAATAGTACATAGATCAATGCATTGTAATACTAATAAATAACCAATCATGATGATAGTGAACAGTTACTTATCTCATACCCTTAGCACTTAATTAATTTCCATACAATTTATGGCAAGATTTTAAACATTTAATACCCTTAACACGGCTAATAAGGTCAATTTTAACACTTACTGATATTGTATCAAAAATGACTGACCAATGAGATTTCACACGAGCTGTACATTTAAAACATGCAGCAAATAGTGAGGTATGCAAATTAGGCACATTAAAACTGCATAAAAGCTTAAATGCAACAAGGCTTTGATTGACAAAACAATTTTAGTGATTTATAGACAGGTATACACATTTATCTTTGATATTTGGGTGGTACATATTCTAAAAAAACTTCTACACATACAATTATACACTGTCTTAACATAACAGCTTCAATAAATAGATACCCATGTTTTAAAGTAGTTTTCTAGATTTTCAATTGTACCAAATTTCAAAGACAATTATTTATCAAATTCACCATAATGTATAAAGTAATACATGTAGTTTACAAAACAATTAGTGTGAAAAATTAAAGACATTTAGACAAGGAAAGTAAGGTAGATGAAGGGGAAACATGTGAGTGATTAATATAGCTTTATAAAGTCAGTGTACAGCAACAGACCCAACATACTACAAGCAGATAATATGATTGATCTATCAATTTTGGAATGCCTTCTTAAATGAAATCTAAATTATTAGACCAATGAAAAAATCCTTATCTCAAGATTGGAGAGGGGAAAAATGCAAGAATAATTGAGTAAGATGCTAAATCAATAATCTTGTTTTGCCAGGATTGATTGTTGTTACAATCTGTTCAGACTAAAGTTTTATTCAATAATTAATCCTGCAGATAGCTGTCTATAGTGCACAAATTTCAATCTTCTATACTTGTCATTATTAATGCAACGTGATCACATGGTAATTCAATACAAGATAAAAACATCATTTTATTTTAGACTGATTCTTAGATACTTGAAGCTGTGATATTACAAGTTTGCCTCCAGCAACAAGCAAAACATTTACTAATTTGAGAAATTTCAAATACTGGCATTTTTCATAACTGATTTTAGAATGAAAGTTTAAGATAACAAATTAGTTACACCAACATATGTTGTTTTTATGTTACTAACATCATTTCAGTTTTCAAAATCTACTTACAACCAACAGGTGATATCCAAGTTTGAGTGAAGCAATATAACATCTTGATTTTCTAGGCCCAAGAAAACCAAGAATAATGCCTCAGTCATTCAAAAATCAATAATTTAATCTTTAATTTAAAACAACCTGCAAAGATTTAAAGTGTCATTACCATTAAGAATCAGTTTAAGAAACAGAAACAAGCATTACTTAACACTTTCTTCAACTTATTAAATAAAAACTTGGTAAAACAATTAAAATAGAACGTCAACAAATATCAATTAAAACACCACATGGTCCTTTTTTAATGAAGTTCTTTACAAAAAAAATACACTGTTACAAAATATGCCTGATTTAGTGATTGCTATTCCTTATTTGTTAGGATATATCTAGCAACATTTTCAATTTTTTCCTGCCACTACTTAGACACTATAAATCAAAAATTGGCAACATGTACATAAGAAATACAGAAACAACGACTGTATAAAATGATACATGCATATCAATAATTAACATGTAAAAAATGTAGAAAATACCAAATTTGATTTAATTATTGACTTTTCCCTTACAACTAATTTGTTTCAACTAAAATCATCCTAGCTCTAGACAAAGAGAGATGGAATGAAGACAGATAGAAAATAGAGCAAGATATAATTGAGCCGCGCCATGACAAAACCAACATAGTGGGTTTGCGACCAGCATGGATCCAGACCAGCCTGCTCATCCTCGCAGGCTGGTCTGGATCCATGCTGGTCGCAAACGCACTATGTTGGTTTTGTCATGACACGGCTCATATATAAAATTGTTGTAGATAGATATAAACACCAGTCATTAATGAGTATATAGTATCAACAGTGAGCATTAATTATCTTCCTCGGAGAAATCATCTTCTTGTTTCTTTGTTGGACTGTCTATATCATCAATATCATCACAATGAACTACTTCAAGTTTGGCGTTCCGCAGAAATTCACCGGAGAAAACGTTCAACTGGGGCAGACACAATCTGTGCAAGACAATAAAAAAAAAATTATTATCTGATGTTCATATTCAGTTTATTTTACAATGATTAAATAATTTTTGAACACAACATCTACTTTTTTTTAACAATTTAATAAAATAAGACATGCATACTACAGAAATGCAAATTTGCTGTTTTTAAAATATTTCTGGTGTTAAAAAACCCAGACAATATCAAGCAAAAGATAATTGCACTACTCTCTTTGGCTGTATTGACACACGATTTTTTTTTCGCAAGCAATGCTTATTCATCAATTTCAGTTGCAAAGGCAGTTTGCCAAAGCAATTTAATTGTCTGTGAACTGCAACAGACATAAATGGCTTAGATTCTGCAGCTGTAAACACTCAAAATCCTTTACTTCATGTTTGCTCACATATTTGCAAAGGTACTTCACTGAATTTGCAAAGTGTTGAAAACACTCGTAAAGTTAAGGACTCAAACCCTCAAATGAAAGAAGAAAGCAATAGAATGCAAGCAAACTAATATCTGCTACACTTAGATACTTAAAAGCTAACTAAACATGCAAAGCATTGGAAAGTATTCAAGTTTTCACAATAAATAAAATCAAGCAAATACAAAAACAAAAATTCTTTACCTTTTACAAGAAACTTATGTCTCGCCCAGAGTTGATCATTAGCGATGAATCAAGAAATGATAATTGCACAAGACAAAAACACTAAACTGAACAAATATGGAGGTCATGTGACTTGGATTGATCATGTGACTAGTTACTGTGCTTGTGGCGAGGACGGAGAACGAGGACTTGAGTTTGCTGACGCCATTTTATACCGACGTCGCCTGCAACGAGACAAATATTCTAGTAAGTTGCATCCCTGGCTCGTTAAATTTGTCACAAGATATTCTTTAAATTAAAAAAATCATATCGTTTTTTGTAATGACAGTTAACACCTTTAAAGGTTTCAAAGCAGGTAGACAAGTTTACATACAACCTAGTCATATTATAGTTTTCACTTATGATAGTTCCGGAGCAAGTATTGTAAATTGACTCTAAAAGATCACTAGCCATGTGACCCTTTAATTTAGCCAATAATCTGTCACATGTGACCTCAGTGTCACAGAAAAGCTTGCTACAAAATAAATGTACAAATATATCATAGGTGCTTCAATTTACAATATGAAAGTGTACTCACAACAACAAAAAACAACATCAATATTTTTCTTAAATCACTTCTATTCTAAATATTTTTTTTTATTCTAAAGTTCAAAATGTATTAGCAACCTAGAAGTACAAATGCATTTAATCAGTTAAATATTGCAATAACTTCTTAACATTGTGGTCACATGCATGGCAACTGTCTGTTCTTTGATATTAAAATTCTGACAATTTAATCCCATGGTTTATTTAGATAATTATTATGTAATGAATATGTAAAATTGAACAAAGAAGCTGGAAGTCTGCTGAAGACATTTATATTATATTATGTGAAGTACATGAACTGAATGTTGCATTAAAAGGAATTTCAGTACACTCATTATTCCGGCATAAAATTATGATACTTAATACTTTTTCAACTATTAACTGTTATTACTATACATCAATCTTCAATTATATGCAATGAGTAGTCAAAATCTCTTATTTTTCCATAGCAAGTTGTAAGCAATGTGCTTAAATAATTTATTCAGTTTCAAAGAAATTATGCATAGTGCATACTTATTTGAATGTTTGTTGTTTTTTTTTAATAAAAAGTTGAACCTTAAGCATTAACAATAACTATATCCTTGACTCAAGTAAAATACTTACTACTCTGAAACTAACAAAACCACTGGAAATATACAACACTTAAGATTACATTTTCACAATATGTAAACATGAAAGAAACAGAGATAACAGGCTGCATAAAGCAATAATAGAAACTATTTACCTAGCTGAGTAAACAAGGTTCTTCTTTGGCGCTGATCCTTGATCTGGTGGTTTTGGTACTTTCTGGTTTAAATCAAGTGGTGGAACCGGTGTAAGATAATCTGGTTGAGAATTTTTGTTGTTATCACTCTTATCAACTCTTGGCGCTGAATTTGAACGTCTAAGTGCTCGTCTTTCTCTCCTTTCCTTATTCTCAGAGCGTTTCTTCTCCTCTTTTAATTTATTATCTTTAGTATCACTGTCTTTATTATCATCAACAACAATTGCATTGTTCAGTTTACTATCACTACTACTACTTGGCACTATATTAAAATGATTTTGCACTTTTTCTTCTAATGGTGATATAGCCGGTGTTGCACCTCTTGTCCGTATATGTTCCTCTATAGTCGTTAATGACTGTCTACGTTTAGTCTTATCTTCAGACCTAGAATTGCTTCGGCCTCTTTCTCTACCTTCGCGACTTCTACTTCGCGACCTCCTTTCTAATCCAGCAATATCACCATCAGATTTTGTCTTCTCTTTTAACAGTAAGTCAATAGGCTTTAACAAATGTCTAGACTTAGCAGGAGAACCACTTATATTACTATCAGACCTTTTATCTTTTGCAATTTTGTCCAGGCTATCTGAACTTTTTTCTTTTCTTAGATTAGAGCTAGACAACTTACCAAAATTTGACAATTTCAAGTTATTTAAAACAGCTAATTTTTTAACATCTGACAAACTTTCTTTGTCTTTTAAAGATGATTTAGAAGGACTAGTAGGATATTTTGAAGGGGCATTCATTCGATTTCCTAAGTCTTTTGTTAATTTGTCACTAACATTTTCTGAAAGTTGACTGGGTATGGTAAATGCATGAGGTATTGCAGAATAACTAGAAGCTTGACTTGTTCCTATGGCACTCCCGTCCTTACTTGTTCTTTCACTTCTACCCCGCGACCTTTCACTACCAACAGCACTAAATGAAAAATCTCTAGAATCTATATTTAAACTTTTTTCATCCATTTTTTCTTTAATGAAAATATTCATGTGTTCTTGCGGACTATCTTCTATATCATCATCTATAAATATCAATGAATTCCGCATTAACTTTCCATGATCTTTATCAGAGTCAAAGTACATGGAATTCCTCGCTATACTATCTAACTTTAAATCATCTTCATCTGCTAAAGTATTCATAAGATTCATTTTATTTCTAGACTTTGTAGTAGATTTATGCACTTTGCCATCTGCTCCAATGACCTCTTCACCTCCCTCCTCCTCATTATCACTGTTATCAGTACTAGATGCAAACCCTGACACACCTTGCCATTGACTAGCATGCGTGAAAGGTGCTGCACGAGTTGCATTTTCATCTACATTATCATCACCCATAGTGTGAGTTCTATCATCAGTTTGCATAATTGCAAATGTTAACTGAGCTCTGCTAATTAAATGCTCTGGAAAAGAATTTTCCACAATATTGCACGAAGGTTCTGACTGGCGTCTTGGAACTATACCCCTATCCTTTTCACTCATATTTTCTGGCACGCTAAAAGCTTTTGGTATTTCCATCCCATCTTTATCCCTACCCACTTTCTCAAAGTTTCTGACTAACTGTTTCACACTATGAGGTTTATGCTGAGCAGTTTCATTAATATCTGTTGCAGGTACAGCTTCAGGTACTTGTTCATCATCATTAGCACTTGATTTCTGACCTATATTCATTCCACCCCCAATCTTATTCATAGCACTTTCAAATCTTTCGATTTGTGGTAAAGTTCGACTTGGCTTTGATATAGCACCATCTTGCTTACTAGCACTTGTCTTTTCAGGTTGAACATTTTTAGCTTCAGGCTTTATCACTTCGTTCTCTGACAATTTAATAGACACTCCCGTTTCTAGTTCTTTTAAATTCTGTTTACTATCACTTGTTTTAAGAATACCCTTTAATTGTGTATCAAGTTTGGCTAAATCCTCACCAGCCTTTTCATCTTTATCTTTCTCCAGACCTTTGTTTTCATTTTCTTTATCCTCAATCTTTTCTTTTACTTTTTGTTCAGCTAAATGCTTTTCTTCTCCATCTTTATCATCTCGCATCTTCTCAGCTTCTTTCTCTTCACGAAGTTTGTTGTCCATTATTTTATATTTGTCATCATTGATATGATCTGCTTCTTTCATTTTTTTCAGGTTTTCTTCACCATCATTTTCACTTAAGTTCTCATCAATTACTTCCGTTGCACCATGGCCTGGAGGATACTGGTTCAAGCTGAAAAAATACATACATGAATAACACTCATGTTTAATTGATCAGAGTTAATTTGATGCTTAACTACAGGCAAAAAATAAGTAGAAAATTATAAAGATGATACTATGTGGAAGTTTATAGTCTAGCATTTTTACGATACTTTGCATTTGTAATGTCACTTTTCATTGTGCAATCCTGAAGTTTACATAAACTATATACACAGTTGATGAGTAATTTTGAGTAATTTCTTTCTTTCTTTTTCTTTTCAAATAAAGGAAGTTTGCTGTATCATAAATTCTTTATATAGATTCTTGACAGGTTATATGGCTGTATATAGGTGCAGCTTGGATTAAATATACAAACCACCATATATATAGGGTCATATAACCTGTCCAAAATCTTTATAACTAATAACTTAAGGTTTGAGAAAAGATATAATGAATTTATTTTCTATAAAACAAAAACCTTTGTCTCTACTGCAATGGAAATAAGTAAGGATAAAACCATGTTTTTATTACACTGCGTAAAGTATTCCTAGTATTAAAGCTTCCAAGAAAGCATTGATTTTGTAGGATTAGTAACCTACAGAACATATGCTATAATATTATGTACAGTAAATCATGTGCACATGGACCCTTATTAAACAGAAAAAAATAGGGGGATCAATTAATGTTGGTATCTTACCCAAAGCCAGGTGATTGTTTAACACCTAGGGGAGGAGAGGTAGTGGTTGTTGTGGTTATTGACCCATCAGCATAAATCTTCTCCCAATCAAATGGATCACAGTCTTTTATATTCTTACGCCTCATACACTGTTCAAATAGATTCTGTAGTAATGCGTAATCCGGCTTCTCAAAGTAGTCCAAGGAATTAAGATGTTCGAGGAAAGTTCGGAACTCAGATGGCATATTTTTAAGTAAAAGGGCGTGGTCATATTTTTCTTTCATAATACCGACTTGCTCCTTATCTTTGATTTTCCTCCAAGGTAGCTGACCGGCAAGGAACTCAATCAACATATAAAACAATGACCATAGATCATCATGTCGACCCATTTCCTGAAAATATGCAGGAGACATTTAAGATAACACTTTGTTAATTAATCTCTCTTACCATTATGTTTTTCGAGCAAATATCTTGACTAACAGAAATAGGATGGTGTGATCCAAAAGTTGGCAGCTAAATCAACAAACTGACTGAAGAATTATTTTTTAATACATAAATTATCTTGAAAACTATTCAAACTAAACAAGCATGGTTATAAAATTTAAATTCAAAACATCTCTACATCAATACAAACAATGTAGATATATAACATGAGAACATAAATATTCCAATTCTTACTTCAACCCATCTTACCTCCCTGTATGAAATTAAGTTTGATGATAATGTTCTGTAAAGTCAATCAATTTTTTAACTACAATCAGAACTTAAGACCTTTTTATGCATCCAAAAACATTACAAATGGCACTTGACATCTAAATGAAGTAGCAAATTAAAGCTCAAACAACCATTAAATATGCATACATTCCTGTAACAGATGAAGTTTTCATTGAAATTAACATTTGATACAACCATTTTATCTCCAACAATGGGAGAAGAATTAGAAAATCATGTTAATTTTACAGCATCACGAAATTTACTGAAGAAATCTGAGGGAATTTATCAATGTGAAATAATCAAATTCATTCCTATCTTGTTAAATTGCTACAGGCTTCTATTGAAATACATGTAATTCTCTATTTACAAACATTTATTTCATGATTTCCAGTGTTTTATTGTAATATATCAGATGATTATATTCTGATAAACCACTAGTGAAATTTATAAAATATAATTTTCACTGTAGCCGGACTATATCTGTATGCGGATGAAAAGAAAATCAAAACTGAATGGAATAACAGGCAAAAATAAATGCCGTCATGCGTAAATTTTGATTCTTTCGGAAAAGAAAATCGATGTCACCATACATTATGCTAAAAAAGTAACAAAATAAGAGAAATTTCACAGAACTATATTTCCAACCTGTTGATGTGACGTCATGATGTGATGACGTCACGAAGGAGAATGCGTGACGTTACGCGGCAAAATCAGTAAAAATTACTGAAAATCACTTAAAACGCATGAAATAAAAAGAAAATTTATTTGTTTTACATATAAGATTGAAATATATTTCATTCGTGAACACCAGCTATTATATTTTCACTCGTGGCTACGCCACTCGTGAAAATATTGCATCTGGTGTTCACTCAGTGAAATTATATTTCAATCTTACATGCAAAACAAACAAATATCCTCTATATCTTTTTTCATTCTTTTATATTTCTTTATATGAAACAATACTTTTATTGTTATTAAGGAAATTATATGAATTAATCATCTTCAAAAAAAAAATGAACTGTGATAAACATAATAAAATATCTGAGTATCGAACATTTCAATTGCAACAATGTTTGAGATAAAATAAACAAACCCCATGTGGACATGCTAATATCGATTCTAGTCTAATATGATCTTTAATGGATGTAAATTCTGATACAGGAAATGCACTCCTATAAAATTGCTGATGTCGGAACAAAGAAACAATAAAGATAGTTAAAATTGTCAATATTATTGCACTTCAGAGATGAGAATGGAGCCGTTATTGGTGTTAAGGCGCCATATTGATAATAAAGACAAGTAAAAGTCGGATATATAAATATCCTACATGCACAGCATCTATCATTATCCGGATGCTTTTATCCTGTACATTTTGATTGCTGCATGTAATCTTGCTTTCACATTAGTGGTATTACTACCAGCTTCTTTCTACCATATTAACACAGTAATTAATGTACCATATTACTACATACACAGTTATTAATGTCAAAATTACTGCCATAATTATTAAACAATATCAAATATACAAGTGCCATTTCTATTTAACAATTTCGTCAAATTATGATGATTTGGTATCATATTTACAAATTTGGTATCATATTTACACAGTATTTATGGTAAAATGCTTTGATGCCATAATTATGTACTAAAACAGCAATGTCAAATTCATTTTTGTAACCCTATATACCGGTATATAACAGTACAGTTAAAATGCCCAGTTTTTGAAGCTATATATACATCAACATCGCAACAACTTCTTAACAGAAAATATAGGACAGATCTCAATACAGAATAAGTTCCTTGTCTGTTACATGCTGCTTATATTACTTACAACTTGCAAACATTACGACAATGTATCAAATATTGAGGACTTTATTCTACGTCTTGACAAAAATATGATTTAAATATAAAATAACATATTTATAACACTTGTTTTATAACACTTATTAAGTAAGTACTCTTTATTTTTGGTGTGTTAACGTTTAATTAAAACTTCTTATTATCTAAAACACATGTAATCCAAGATGTTTATAAAAAGCCTGCACGAAATAAGAGATGTAATTTTCTCTAAATGCTCTCATTTTACAAGTGAAAATGTATTTTAAGCAAATAAGTAACCTAAATGAGATGAAACATGAGGGAAAAAGAAATGATGTATATTTATGTCTATCTGATATTAACTGGCAAACATCGAAACATCGTATCTTTATCTAGTTATGTAAGAATACATCAAGTTTCACTTGTTAAGTCTTTTTAGTTAACATATTTAAAACATTCAAAAAGTTCAAAGAATGATTTTTTCTCCCCCCCACCCAAAAAAAATAAAATAAATATTCTAAACTGATTAACGTATTACAGCAGAAAACATAGAAGTAACAAACTAAATTAACATGAAGTAAAATTACCTTATTCTTGTGTGCATTTACAGAAGCATATCTAACTGTTCCTCTAAACCCTGCAGCAGCTCTAGGGGGACGAACTTCACCGGTCGGGGTCGTGTACTGGCGGGCTAGACCATAATCTAACATAAACACTTTCTTGGTCTGGTTTTGTAATCTTCCCATGGCAAAATTAGACTGAAAATTAAAATAAGACGCAATTACCTACTACATGCAAACAATTTAATATCCCCTAACATTTATAACACTGCAGCATATATAACAGAGAACTATTCATTGAATCAATGGTAAAATGGTAAAATTATATTTCACATACAAATAAACATCTAATATAAATTCTTTGATAATCAGCAATATTTCTGATATAAACATATTTATAGTAAACCAACTTATGTAATATCCTAAGATAAGTTCATCATCTAACAACAGTGTCTCACAATGATTCCAGTAGAAAACATTATACACCCTTATTTGGATTTTTACCATATATGAAATCATGTGTTGCTGTTACTGGTTGTAATACATGTACTTATAATTCAACAAGATATGTTTGTAAAACATGTATGCCCCCTATCAGCAGCCAATTATTCATGTGATAAGGTAATTATGCATGACTTCTGACCCAGTGATCAAACAATTAATAAGGGTTATCAAGTATCTACTGGTCATGACCTTGACCTTTGACCCCTTGACCCAAAACTTAATAGGGGTCATCTGCTGGTCAAAACAAATCATCATACAAAGTTTGAAGCTCCTAGGCCTAAGCGTTTTTACTTAATTGATCAGAAACCGTTTTTACTTACAAGGTCAATGTGACCTTGACCTTTGACCCCTTGACCCCAAAATCAATAGGGGTCATTTGCTGGTCATGACTAATCACCATGCCAAGTTTGAAGTTCCTAGGCCTAAGGGTTCTTTTATTATTGATCCGAAACCGTTTTAACATACAAGGTCAATGTGACCTTGACCTTTGACCCCAAAATCAATAGGGGTCATCTGCTGATCATGACCAATCACTATGCCAAGTTTGAAGTTCCTAGGCCGAAGTGTTCTTTAGTTATTGATCAGAAACCGTTTTTACTTACAAGGTCAATGTGACCTTGACCTTTGACCCCTTGATCCCAAAATCGAAAGGGGTAATCTGCTGGTCATGAAAAATCACCATACCAAGTTTGAAGTTCCTAGGCCTAAGCGTTCTTAAGTTATTGATCAGAAACCGTTTTTACTTACAAGGTCGATGTGACCTTGACCTTTGACCCCTTGACCCAAAACTCAATAGGGGTCATCTGCTGGTCACCACCAATCATCATACAAAGTTTGAAGTTCCTAGGCCTAAGTGTTTTTAGTTAATTGATCGGAAACCGTTTTTACGTACAAGGTCAATGTTACATGACCTTTGACCCCTTGACCCTAAAAACAATAGGTCATCTGCTGGTCATGACCAATCACCATACCAAGTTTGAAGTTCCTAGGCCTAAGGGTTCTTAAGTTATTGATCGGAAAGCATTTTTACCTACAAGGTCAATGTGACCTTTCCCTTTGACCCCTTAACCCCAAAATCAGTAGGGGTCATCTGCTGGTCATGACCAATCACCATACCAAGTTTGAAGTTCCTAGGCCTAAGGGTTCTTTAGTTATTGATCGGAAACTGCTTTGACCTAAGAGGTCAATGTGACCTTGACCTTTGACCCCTTGACCCCAAAATCAATAGGGGTCATCTACTGATCATGACCAATCACCATACCAAGTTTGAAGTTCCTAGGCCTAAGGGTTCTTTAGTTATTGATCCGAAACTGTTTTTACCTAAGAGGTCAATGTGACCTTGACCTTTGACCCCTTGACCCCAAAATCAATAGGGGTCATCTACTGATCATGACCAATCACCATATCAAGTTTGTAGTCCCTAGGCCTAAGGGTTCTTTCGTTATTGATCGGAAACCGTTTTTGCCTACAAGGTCAATGTGACCTTGACCTTTGACCCCTTGACCCCAAAATCAATAGGGGTCATCTACTGATCATGACCAATCACCATATCAAGTTTGAAGTCCCTAGGCCTAAGGGTTCTTTTGTTATTGATCGGAAACCGTTTTTACCTACAAGGTCAATGTGACCTTGACCTTTGACCCCTTAACCCCAAAATCAATAGGGGTCATCTGCTGGTCATAACCAATCACCATACCAAGTTTGAAGTTCCTAGGCCTAAGGGTTCTTTTGTTATTGATCGGAAACCGTTTTTTACCTAAGAGGTCAATGTGACCTTGACCTTTGACCCCTTGACCCCAAAATCGTTAGGGGTCATCTACTGATCATGACCAATCACCATACCAAGTTTGAAGTTCCTAGGCCTTAAGGTTCTTTACTTATTGATCGGAAACCGTTTTTGCTTACAAGGTCAATGTGACCTTGACCTTTGACCCCTTGACCCCAAAATCGTTAGGGGTCATCTACTGATCATGACCAATCACCATACCAAGTTTGAAGTTCCTAGGCCTTAAGGTTCTTTACTTATTGATCGGAAACCGTTTTTGCTTACAAGGTCAATGTGACCTTGACCTTTGACCCCTTAACTCCAAAATCAATAGGGGTCATCTACTGATCATGACCAATCACCATACCAAGTTTGAAGTTCCTAGGCCTTAAGGTTCTTTACTTATTGATCGGAAACCGTTTTTGCTTACAAGGTCAATGTGACCTTGACCTTTGACCCCTTGACCCCAAAATCAATAGGGGTCATCTACTGATCATGACAAATCACCATACCAAGTTTGAAGTTCCTAGGCCTTAAGGTTCTTTAGTTATTGATCGAAAACCGTTTTTGCTTACAAGGTCAATGTGACCTTGACCTTTGACCCCAAAATCAATAGGGGTCATCTACTTGTCATGACCAATCACCATACCAAGTTTGAAGTTCCTAGGCCTAAGGGTTCTTTAGTTATCACTCGGAAACCATTTGGTCTACGGACCGACGGACCGACGGACCGACGGACCGACAAGTGCAAAGCAATATACCCCCTTTTTTTCAAAAGGGGGCATAATAAAATATATCACAATAAATTTTAAAACTTGGCATAAAAACCTACAGGTTTAATGTCTCTATGTAAAAAGCCAACATCATGTATAGCTTCAATTCCCTTCAATATTTGTGAACCTAACCGCAGTGCCGTGCTCAGTGTGAAACAACCTTTAGGCTGACTGCGACGCAATTCTGCCAAGTTCTTGCCTTGTAGGGACATAACTACATAATTATAAAACTCATTACGCCCACATCCAATAAAGCGGCAAACATGGTCACGACCTGAGAAAAAATTTAATTAATATTAGATAACATTATACACTATTTCAATATTTTCTAATTTACATCAGAGTTGTTCTAAAATAAGTGAATTTATCAAGAAAACATAATTATAAGAAAGTATTGATCACCAAATTTTCTGCAACTAGTTCCAACTTACATTCATTTAATTATTGACCAGAAGAAATGTCAGGATTGAGTCGAACCACACAATACCATTCCATGATTCAATAAATTTAATATACACTATTAAAACTCTACAAAAACAATTATTTATTATGTCATTATTTCTTATACCAACTATTCAAGAAGCTGATCATTAAAAAAACTTCTGACATAATGAGAGGTCTAAATATGGTAAAGATTTAAACTTTAACTGTATGATATTAACAGTGTTGACAGATATGACAAAAGTACACACCTTGAAGTTTCTTAAGGACAGCTACCTCCATTTTGAGAACTTGTTTTGGCTGCTTTGCTGACTCCAGCTTTAGTGCCACAGGTTCCTTGGTAACAGTATCAAGTCCTTCATATATCTCACCAAATCCTCCACCCCCTACCTTTCTCACCTATGTATCAACAAAATTTAATAATATACGAGGGGTCATCCAAAAATTCGTGGACTTTTTAAATATCTTTTGAACATCAACGTGTATTGATATGAAATTTTATCAGCATACATTGTAGAATATTATCAACACGTTTTGAAACGAAGAGTTAACTGCGTCAATAAAACATGGATTTTATATTGCTTTGAAATAAGCACATACACGGCACCCGGCGCACGGTAGAAAAGCGCAGTTAGTCAGCGTATATTTTTTGCTAAAAAAATACTAATTAACGTAGAAAACCCGTTAAACATCGCATATTTCTTCTATGATGTAATTTAAGTAATTCTTTAAAATTATGGACGTCATTTCCATTCATTTTTGTTGAAATCGCCAGAAACGCCAGACGATGATATTGTTTACAACGGGAACATTACGGACACGCAGAAATTAGAAAATAGCGTGATCACAATATTTTGTTGTAATTTGGGAATGACACCAACAAAAACATTTGAAAAAAACAGAACAACAAAAGACAGCAGGCAAACAGAAAAAATAAAATTTCACTATCATTAGTGTTTAATTGGCATACAAATTTAGTGATGGACATTACTACGTGAAGCAGTAATGATTATTGACTGCGTAACGTTGAAGCATAAGTTGACGTTAAATGTTATGACGTTGACGTCAATAACTTTTTGGAGTGCGCCGCTGTCGCAGACATATGTTTATGTAAAATTAAATATTGTTGTAATATAAATAGATACTAACATGAATTTTTCTGTGTTTATTTATTATTTATTCTTCTAAGCAGTGTGAGAATTTCAAATCAATATCTCAAATATATTTTACGCAACAAAGAAAGTCCACGAATTTTTGGATAACCCCTCGTACTTCATATAAAGTAAATACATAATATGAAACCAGTCTTTGGAAGGTAAAGATTTTGGTTTTTGTAGAGAGGTGTTGCTATACAGAGGTTTAATCTTTAGTAAGGTCTTACTTTGAAAAAATAATGAAATTGTTGTTGTAAAGAGTTGATCTACAGAAGGCTACTGTGCAAGATTGCACTATATCTCCAAAAATATAGTGTAACATGTCAAAATTTTCCTTTATAACATTAAGGTGAACAAGAACTGTCGGAGGACAGTAACGCTCGACTATTCGAAAATTTGTCACAAGGGTGTTTCATTGATTATAATAATGCTTACCTATATGAATACATAAAATTGTCCGAAAAGGTACAAACCCTTCAAGTTTCAATACATTCCCTTCAGTACTTATGGAGATACAAGCTTACACACAAAAACTTAACCAAGAATTTATGAATCGAAAAAGGGGCATTATTATGCGAAAAAGAAAATCCGAGTTATGGGACTTGTGCCAATCATCTTAGATAATCACAGACAACAAGAGTGTTAAGTTTCAATCCATTCCCTTCAGTAGTTATGGAGATACCAGCTTACACGCAAAAAATTAACCAAGAATTTCTAAGTCCAAAAAGGGGCATAATTATGTTAAAAAGCAAATCAGACTGATGGGACTTGTGTCAATCATCTTAGATAATCACAGAGAACAAGTGTGTGAAGTTTCAATCCATTCCCTTCAGTAGTTATGGAGATACCAGCTTACACGCAAAAACTTAACCAAGAATTTCTAAGTCGAAAAAGGGACATTATTATGTAAAAAAGCAAATCAGAGTTATGGGACTTGTGCCAATCATCTAAGATAATCACAGAAAACAAGTGTGTGAAGTTTCAATCCATTCCCTTCAGTAGTTATGGAGATACCAGCTTACACGCAAAAACTTAACAAGAATTTCTAAGTCGAAAAAGGGGCATTATTATGTAAAAAAGCAAATCAGAGTTATGGGACTTGTGCCAATCATCTTTGATAATCACAGAGAACAAGCGTGTGAAGTTTCAATCCATTCCCTTCAGTAGTTATGGAGATACCAGCTTACACGCAAAAACTTAACCAAGAATTTCTAAGTCGAAAAAGGGGCATTATTATGTTAAAAAAGCAAATCAGAGTTATGGGACTTGTGCCAATCATCTTAGATAATCACAGAGAACAAGTGTGTGAAGTTTCAATCCATTCCCATCAGTAGTTAATATGGACATACCAGCTTACACGCAAAAACTTAACCAAGAATTTCTAAGTCGAAAAAGGGACATAATTATGTAAAAAAGCAAACCAGAGTTATGGGACTTGTACCAATCATCTAAGATAATCACAGAGAACAAGTGTGTGAAGTTTCAATCCATTCCCTTCAGTAGTTATGGAGATACCAGCTTACATACAAAAACTTAACCACAAATTTCTAAGTCGAAAAGGGGCATAATTATGTAAAAAAGCAAATCAGAGTTATGGGACTTGTGCCAATCATCTTAGATAATCACAGAGAACAAGTGTGTGAAGTTTCAATCCATTCCCTTCAGTAGTTATGGAGATACCAGCTTACATACAAAAACTTAACCACGAATTTCTAAGTCGAAAAAGGGGCATAATTATGAAAAAAAGCAAATCAGAGTTATGGGACTTGTGTCAATCATCTTAGATAATCACAGAGAACAAGTGTGTGAAGTTTCAATCCATTCCCTTCAGTAGTTATGGAGATACCAGCTTACATACAAAAACTTAACCACAGGGACGCCGACGCCGACAAATGGGTGACTGCATTAGCTCGATTATTCTGCGAATAGTCGAGCTAAAAACAGCATTATTACTGGCATGCAAGTAGTTCCCATACAAAAGCTGCAGTTATTTGATATATATTTTTAGTATGCTCACTCACTAAAAAATTTTTGCTACACACTAATATTTGGCTTTTGACACAAAATCTTGGAAATCTTGATGTGTTCTTAATACAGAACGTCTTTAGGTAGAAGACCTGGTATTGTCTCATTTTGTATGCAGAGAAGCAGTTCTTACACACAAAATATATCCCAATATAATTATACTATGTTGTTATATCAGTCCTCTGCTCCACTTATCATTGTTTAAGAGACCATTTGTCTGGAGTTTAATAAACATGTCATTCAGAATATATGTGTGTACAGGAAATACTTGGATGCCAGAATACTAAAACCCTTTCTCTGTCAAATTGGATGCCAGAATACTAAAACCCTTTCTCTGTCAAATTAAAGTGACTGTTTCTAAAGATAAAATATACTTACCACTTTCCATCTGTCCTTGACTACCTGACCGGCCTGCAAAAGATCTTCTGTTGTCATAGTTACTCTTGCAGGTCACGGTCCTCTCAACAAATCACAATTTCACATTATGTCAGGTGACCTCACTGCCAACCAATCAGATTACTCTAAGATTTCATCTTTTGTCTTTCATCTCTCATTATACAATCTGGAAATACAAGAAAATAACAAATGTTATTCTTAATACTTTAACAATGGCTTTTTGTTGTTTAACCTAAATCAATCTAAATTATTTTTCCAAATTACCCTATTATGAAACATGCATCAACTTTTGCCAAACTCTGTGACTGATTTGCAAATCTCAATGATAAAGAACATAAAATGAATGGATATCATATGTTGTAGCAGGTAGCAAACATGCAAGCCCATCTATTCTGTCAACTGCCTAAAACCTTATATTATAGCACAGTCTCTGCAAACTGGAATATATCTGGTTACTTCTTTCAACATGTTTCTCATTTTATAACAAACATAAATTATTATATGGTTTGTTCAACACTTGAGACATAGTGAATTGCCTGCCAACATAGTTAATAAGGCAGGTTGGTATTTTCTCCAGAAATAAAGCACCTTAATCAATAACTAGTATAAATAGATGAGAGAAAAATAAATATCCCAATAATCACAATACATGTAATGTAAAGAAATGCATAAAAAACCAATCAACTTAAGTTATTGACCAATAATCAATAATAACAGCATGTAAAACGTTCCTGTATCCTGCTCTAAATAAGGGGACAAACACATAACTTGCAAACACTTTTTCTGCATTCCCCTGACATGACTTGTTTCCTTATAAATTACATTTTTAGGACATGGTATTGGCTTCTTTGATAAACAGAAATTGAGACTGCCTCTCTTACCCCTTTTTGAAATGCCTTACTGAAAAGGGTAAAAGTATTAAGTGACATTCAAGGATTTTTTATCACTTGGAAACTGAATCAAAACAATCTAATTCATTGACTCTTTAATTTTTAGCTGTGATGATTTGCTTAAAGCATCAGTTTGGAGTCAGGCCAGCCGGCATGTCCTTGCAATTAGGCCAGGCTTTGATTGTTTGCATAAAGCATCAGTTTGGAGTCAGGCCAGCCAGTATGTCCTTGCAATTAGGCCAGGCTTTGATTGTTTGCATAAAGCATCAGTTTGGAGTCAGGCCAGCCAGTATGTCCTTGCAATTAGGCCAGGCTTTGATTGCTTGCATAAAGCATCAGTTTGGAGTCAGGCCAGCCAGTATGTCCTTGCAATTAGGCCAGGCTTTGATTGCTTGCATAAAGCATCAGTTTGGAGTCAGGCCAGCCAGTATGTCCTTGCAATTAGGCCAGGCTTTGATTGCTTGCATAAAGCATCAGTTTGGAGTCAGGCCAGCCAGTATGTCCTTGCAATTAGGCCAGGCTTTGATTGCTTGCATAAAGCATCAGTTTGGAGTCAGGCCAGCCAGTATGTCCTTGCAATTAGGCCAGGCTTTGATTGCTTGCATAAAGCATCAGTTTGGAGTTACACCAGCCTGAATATCCTTGCAGTTAGGCTAGGCTGTGATGATTTGCATAAAGCATCAGTTTGGAGTCTGGCCTGCAGGCATAGTCTTGCAATTAGGCCAGGCTTTGATTGCTTGCATAAAGCATCAGTTTGGAGTCACACCAGCCTGAATATTAGGCCAGGCTGTGATGGCTTGCATATAACACCAGTTTGGAGTCAGGCCAGTCTATATGCCCTTGCAGTTAGGCCAGGTTGTTATGACTTGCATAATTGCATCAGTTTTCAGTCAGACATGCCAGCATGTCCTTGCAGTTAGGCCAGGTTGTTATGACTTGCATATAGCATCAGTTTGGAGTCAGACCAGCCTATATGTCCTTGCAGTTAGGCCAGGCTGTGATGACTTGCATATAGCATCAGTTTGGAGTCAGACCAGCCTATATGTCCTTGCAGTTAGGCCAGGCTGTGATGGCTTGCATATAACATCAGTTTGGAGTCAGGCCAGCCTGCATGTCCTTGCAGTAGGACAAGACTGTTAAATTTCAGCTGTTTTTTAATGAAATACAATTATTAATGAAAATAACAATGGACTATTCCAAAATCAAAGCAGGCAAATCCATATATATATATATAATATATGAAAGGTTAAGAACTTTTCCATGGTGTGAATAGTAAATTATATGGCTGCAAATATTCAATAAAACAACAATTACTTGTGGCAAAATTATAAATCATTCCTTTAGTCTAGCTCAGTGTTATCATCAACATTTTCCTGGAACAAACCAGACAAATAACATAAAATAAACAAGATTACAGGCTGATTATTTTGCTGCTCTTTATCTACCTCAAAATAAAATCAGTCTATCGTAAAACAAACAACAAAGAAGAGACTTACTTATAGTAAAGCCAATTAGGAATACCCTTTACATCACCTTTGACAAACAAAATTAGGCTTATTTTCCCTATTATCTTTTGTATATTTCATTATTTTGCTGTATACTGATTTCACAAAATATTTCCAATAAATTTTGACATTTTTCTCTTTGTTCCTTAATGAGATCTTCAGAAGACAAGCATCAATAAATTCAGTATTGTTCCGAGGAGAAATTACTGCTGTTGCCTCCAGTACTTGACACACAGAAATCCACAATAAATATAAATGAACAGGATCTGTTGTTAATGCAAGGCAATTGTGGGTCATATCATTAGCAATAAGAACAAATCAAACACAGTTTGAACAGAAAATGATGTTATTTATGCAGTAGTATTTCTGACGGCCTTTCATTGTGAAGGGTTTCTTTTGTTTTTTGGGGGTTTTTTAAATCATGTTTTTTAATCAACAACATTTTTCTAAAAAAGAAATTAAACAATGAAAATGTTTCCTTGCAAGAAATATTGTCAATGTACTATTCACTCTGGGTGCTGATTACTACCTTCCAGCCCTAATCTGCCCTTCCAGTCCTACTCTGCCCTTCCAGCCCTAATATGCCCTTCCAGTCCTACTCTGCCCTTCCAGCCCTAATATGCCCTTCCAGTCCTACTCTGTGGTATATTAACCTCTTACTATTACATCTGTATGCCAATATTACAGAATCTTACACAAACAGCAATACAACCATTAACTGTGCTACTCTTGACAAATTGATCATAATTCACAAATTAAGTTTGATGGTTCAATAACTACATAACACTTTTATCAGCAGAGAATGGCAAGTCAATATCTGTGGTAAAAGTAACAACCAGTAATAGCGGCTAGTCATGGACAAAATGATCCAGAATTTGCATAAAACATGATGCCTGCAAGCTATAAAATATAAGATTTACAGGAACATATAAATAAGAAATCAATAAGTCTCTGAAATCTGTCTTAAATGATAATTGAGAAATTATATGCAGTACTTGTTACATTCATTGCTGCGGTATTTTTACCCTTCACATCCTGGATATATTAAATGGACTTGTCCAGCTAAAATATTTGGAACTGTCCAATATTAAATTTTGGGGATATCAAGACAAAAACTGTTGGATGCAGACTGGGTCTACACTAGTGGCAAAGGCTAATCACTTTCACAGTTCCAGCAGGGAACCATTCAACAATTATGGAATCAATATTTGACATCAGAAGTTTTATCTGGTACAAGTTATTTTGTGTATAGGAAAGTATATCCCAGAATGATATGTATACAGACTTTTATTGGTGACAATGGTAGAATCAATACTTTAACCAAAATATGTCTCAACATATACAAAAACAGAAGAAATCTGAGTGGAGATGTAATTATCTGATCTGAGTGGAGATGTAATTATCTGATGTATTTTTCTACAGTATGTAACCTGTCTTTTACTGTTTTAATATAAATCTCCTACTATATTGCGTTCAATTAACTTCTGACAAAAGACACATGGAAGGAAATTAATTTAAAATATGTGTACAAGCAACATAAAACATTCCGAAGAAATGGTCTGACCCCACAACACATCATTATCACTATGTACTTAGAAAACAAAATGTGATAATGTCCTTCTCTCTAAGGTATATAAACTTAATTACCCCTGCACCTTAAACCACGTCAATAGCATTTACAGTCAGTCAATTATATACATGTATATAGGACTTTGTGATTAGACAAACCGGACAAGACTAGACTCAACTTTAAAAGCGTTTCCATATATGACAACCATCTAAAAGTTATCAATTATATAACCATAATGCAGCAAAAAATTCAGTAAAATACCAGCAGACTTGTCAAATAAATCAGCAGACACTGTTTTCTTAATTAAGGAATAAAACATCAACCTGCCATATCATCAAAATATCATTATTGATATTTTCTAACACTGCAATACATGTATTTACCTTTGTGCATGAAAACAGTTTAAGCAAGAAAGTCTAAATCAATGGTTTGGTATAAAGCACTATTTACAGAGAACAATCCCAGCCTGAAGAAGAAATAAAATTTGATTAGTATCCATCAATGCTGGCCCAGTTTTGTACATAAAGTCAATAAAGCTTGATTAAAGGGGCAAGAAATCACCGACAAGTCTTCTTATATTTGACAGATGATGTTTCGCAAGTCTACCCATGTTTCCAGAATATTTCTTTTATAGTATCAGCTTTTATACTGAAATCTAAAACCTACATGAAATAATGTCTTTATTGATAATAATATCTCTAAAGAAAACTTTAGTTTTTTTTCTCTAAATGTCTTCATGGGAACAATAGTGTGGGCAGCACCAAATACAGTGATACCAGTATAATACTTACTAAAAGAAAAAAAAAGAAATGAAAAATTTTGTAATTAAAACAGATAGACCTATAAAAGGGGATAGATGGATGCTTGTTTATATAACGTGCAATGATGATGCATCCATGAAAAAAAGGTTACTTATTTTGTTTGTTGAAAACTGCCCAACCCATTAAAATATTTAAAGGCTTAAAACCTGTAAAACTTGTTTTTCCACCAAACACATCAAAGTAACAACCTTGCAATCAAGGGTTTATAGGACATTACATATCATGAGCCCTTCATCACATTGTCTCATGTTTAGAAAAACAGACTGAAATATGAACAAACTAGAACTGCCACTGTCATGGCGTGAATACCCCCTGCATACCAGAATCAACAGTGACCATTTAGATTCACCCTGCCAAATCTGAGGTTACAAAGCCAGTGC